GATTCTTCGAAGAAAGTGGAATACGGGAACGCTTCACTGCTAGCGGACGACGCACTCAATCGACTGCCCTGATCGGAATCAGTTGGTCAAACGGCATGGCGACTGTTATCCATCGAGGAAAATTCGGATGCCTCGAAGCCGTGCGAGGCTTCCTTGTACGCCTTTCTCAAGGCGTCATGCGGGCTGAGAAAGGCAACAAAGGAACGCCCAAACCCGCTCCGACTCTTATGGATACGTATAGCCGAGAAAAACAACGTTCAGTGCATGAAGACGTCTCAATTGAAAGGTCGTGACACTTTTGCTGATATGGCCTGCCGGTCCGGATAACAACAGCGTCAAGTAGACTAACAGAGCTGTCGTGAGTGTATCCCTCACAGCCACAAGGCTATCATTGCTGGTGCATGATCTTCTTGACAGTCTCGAGAACTCAGAAACTTCACTTCAAGAACGGGGATTCTTGCGGCAGTTCAAAAGCGCGCGCATTCTGAGAATGTAAGAATTGGACGGTTGTTTTGAAGGTCACCTTGGCGGGGGTAGAGCAGCTACTAGTCACTGGTTTTGTTTGTCAGCAGATTTGACTTATGTAGGTCTGCAATGACGACATAGCAGACTGTTTCAGCCTGCCCGGGAAAGGGCGAGTTGGAAAAGTAACTCCGATTTGCAAGCCGCGTCACGTGCAGATGAAAGACTGCATGATGGGGCGATTCGCATCACAATGACCAAGTTTTCAGGCAATCAAACGAATGTAAAGCAAATAGCGATCAGCAAAGGAACAGAGCTAGCGTCATAGAGTTGGGTCTTCGTGTTGAGGCGAAACCTCGACCTATATATCGCAATCCTCGCTGGTTCTAAACGTTACCTGCCAGGATGAGCGGGATTTTGATGACACGAAGGCGGGCAAGTCAAACTCGGCAAGCGTACGGATCCGCATGCAAACTTTCAGATTGTTAGCTCCAAACCAAATGATTCAAACTGAAGAGTAGACATTTCCTTTCCCAAATTTGGGATCTCAGATGGGCAGTCGTGATCATCGCCGTAATCAGAGCAGACGTTCCGTTTTCCGAAGGACCTGAGTAAGGGCAGGTTGATGTCAGAAATCAGAACGAAGTGGTAGATGCCTAGGGGCGCGAAGACCCTGATGCATATCGCGAGCAGCATCACTGTTCCGGATCCAAATAAACACTGCTGAGGGGAGTCGTGACGTCAGCCCGGGAATTGCAATCATTGCTGGTCACGTGAGATTCGCATGCGGGCGCCAGTAAGCGCAGATGTTTACGAGCTAGGTGCACAAAGACAGAGAGCGTCGAAAATGGCAGTTCAGCTTGCTGCGTGGATCTAAGTTGCAAAAAGGCGACATGACAGAGTGTACACACGTTTTTTGAGCCGTCACTTCATCAAGCAATGTTGAGCGTTCGGGGGAGAACGAGCTGCTACCTGAGTGCCAGCGACCTTTCAAGAAAAAGTCAGGACTAACATTCTGACACAGGGGCGGCTTGCGAGTCCCGGTGTGACTCAAATGATCAGCTCCACGACGCGAGGTCCGACCTAGAGCAGCGCCAGGGTGTTTGCATGACGTGGCACTTTGGATGCAGACTGCCACGTCCTTCCATGACGTGGGCGGTCGCAGGACTTGCAGGCCGACTCAGCGCAGGCGTCACGGGGGCAAACCCAATAAGGTCAAAGCGTACTGCCAAGGTTTTTCTAGCGAACAGTGCAACTCCTATAGCACTCTGAAATCCAGAAAAGCGTCCTGATCGCGTTGATCTTGTCTTGAGGTGACCCTCAAGACGGTCCGCACTTGCAGTCATCGCCTATTCAGGATACGCGCAATTTGAGAGCGAGAGAAATGGCCGAAGCGCAAGGTTTCGCAAGAGCCTCGTCCGCAAGGCGTCTAGGCATTGAAAGACCTTGAGAAACTGCAGCATAAGCTTCAAAGATAGAAGTGGAATCTCGGAGTCGCATAAGTGTCTCGTTTGAACCTCGCTTGGTGGGATGATTGTACAGAAACGAGAAGTATGCTCTTAGAACTTGGAACAGCATGCGAAGGAGAAGGGCACTGTGGGTCTGGAATGTCAAGACGTAACCGGAAAAGAAAGGAAAGAGGTCAGTTAGATTTAGCACCAGTTTTATTTCTCGATGATCGAATCAAATTAACAGGTCCCAATTCAGAATGTCGTGTCGGCAGCTGAATACGAAGAAAATTGAGACGTTCTTCAGTGCTCTTTCAAGACTGTGGCTTCAGACACGGCTGGTCGCAGGTGGCCTGCAAAACCGGGTTGACATGTCTTCCTTGCCACAGGGAATCAGATAACTTCTTAGTATGAGGATCGAGCAAAAGGTCTGAGAAAAGAAAACAAACAAAGTTTGAAAAGCCCGCATGGGGCTCCTTCCGAATAGGCTGTGGCCTGCCTGCTTTGTTTATGAGAACCGCTTAATTTGACACGGTTACATCTACCGAGAGAAACAGCAAACGCATTCAACGGCATCAGAGGCCAAGCTCTCAGTCCTTCCCCTTGGTAGACTTACAAAATTCAGGCTGACTCACTTGAGAACGGGTCGACCGTGCCTCCTGAGACAAGTTTTGAACGGGTGATGAATCCACCTTCAGCGCGCAAGCGTTAAAAGAGTCGCTACCCTCCCCAAAAAGGCCTGAAAATTTCCGAAAAAGGTTGATACGGCTGCTTCACTAGCAAAGAAGAGGACTCGGGGCCACAGCTGGCATCAAGAAGAGAGGTTTGTGCCGTTCATGAAGAGGCACCTCACGAGGTCATTCCGTCACGGCCAATCTAAAATGGAATTTTGAAATTCAAGTACCGAGATAACGTGAAAGAGGATTCAGAGCGGTACCCCCGCTTTCGAATCAGCGTGGGCGAAACTTTTCGATTGGATGATGATACTGGGCCACCCTTTTACGAGGGTTACGCGAAATCAGTGCTCATGGTTTGACCGAGAGGATGACAGACCGACCCGCAAAATGCCCTCGACACAAAGGTGTGAAGGTCAAGGAGCACGTGGGCGCAAGGCTGCTGCACACTTTCGCCAGGCAGCTTGAAGTGAGTGTGTTCTTTCCATTTGATTAGCAGATCGCTGGATGATTCAGAGAAAAAGAGTATTCAGGCTTATAGTCACGTAATTGGCAACTGTCTAAAAAGAAAAGTCCATTTGTAAACGGAATTGTTCCAGAGGGTCTTGTAAGCTCCTGAATCTTAAGCTTTGGCCTTAACAGATTCAATACCAAGCCGCAGCTTCAAACCCAAAATGATGTTTTGGTGTAAAGTGATTCATTGCCTGTCGAATACAACAAACAAATGGAACGACGCAAGCTTTGAACTGGATTGTCGGCCGTTCAATTCAAGCTGTTCCAACGGTTGACAGATCGAAGAGAGCAGAGGAAAACTTCCAGTACAATCACAGTCGGTTTTGGCTCAAGATTCTGTCGGAAGAGCTTGGGGTAGGACTAGCTAGGAAGGTCATCCGCCTGCGTCTCCTCGAGAAGGGAAAGGCCTGAATCATCCTCAAACGTAAACTAAGGGTTTTATCAAGAAATGCACCTGATGTGTTACTGATTCAAAGTTTCGAGTGTATTGAAAAAGCGTCAGCGAAAAAAAGACCAAGTACTTTAGAACCGGACGGAGAGAAACCAGGTGACGGATGGGTCTGACGCGAGGCCGAAACTGATCTTTCGCAGCTTCAGACACCTGCAAACTCTTCTGAGGGGAGCCCAGAGATTAGATCATAGCTGCTTTCCAGACATTGAAAGTGACTTGTTTCGGGGGAGCCCAGAAAATGAAATCATAGCAGCTTTCTAAACATTAAAAGTGACTTGCTTCGGACGTCCAGAACGTCTCGAATGCCGAGTTGGCCGGCAAACGAAGCATTGCAGCACTGCACGGCGCAGATCCGAGGGCTAACGTCCTGATCAACGGTCATCCATTTCCAAGTCTGACGTACATCGATGGTGCTGGAAGTAGGTCAAAGACGCTCGGCTTCAAGTCGGCCTAGAAAGAGATAATGTGCGTAGCTCCGCACAATGCAACACTCGAAGTTCTCACAGAAAGTTGCAAAAAAGAACCACACAGCAACGTACGGAATGCACTGCGTAGTTTAGAGCTGCGTCAGCCAGTGGCGGCGCATGAGTTGACTACTCGATGACTAAGGTAAAATTGTTCCCCCGTTAGGAAGACGACAGGCTCGCTTGTCCAAAAGGCTGAAAACTGGGGTGATGACATCCGACTCAGATCTCGATAGCGACTGAAACTTAGCAAGGTGGACAAAGCAAGCAGGCGAGATTTCTAAATAAAATTTGCAAGGTTGGCACATGACCTGATTCACGTCGATCGCTTGGGCAATGAAGACCCAAGATTGCCCTTTGACGTGAACCATTTAAGCCCTCGAAGCAACGAGTTTAGAAGCGCATGGATTCATTTGTTTCTCTGAGCATCGTTGAGGCCACACCTCAAATTGGCAATCATGGCTGCATGGTCCTGGAACCTGATAATATAAATTATTTTCCTGCATCTTTAGAAGTGCAAAAAGGCCCATCACAGCTGATTCAAAACGCAGTTGCCAACGCGATCCAAGAACAGCAAGCCGCGCACTTGCCTTCAAAGGCAATTGAATTGCAGAAGCAAACGAAAAAGCCTGCCGTACAGCCTGCATGCAAAGCGTACCTACAGTTGATTTGATACTATAAGCACCAATCCTCAGTCCTCAAAAAGCTCCGATCGGGTGAGTTAAACCATCGAGGGCGCAAACATCACATTTAGTAACGACATAAGCTTTGGAAAAAAGATTGCCGTCCACACTCAACAAAGACAAGATCGGGGGTTCGTGCCAGTTGTGGAATCGCAGCCCTTCTCCAATCGAGAAGTTAATAGCCTCGGCCGTCCGCATCTCCAGCGATTCACAGTAAGTGATTTGATACTCTGAGAAGTAGCGTAGCCAACCCATGCAGGATCAGCAAGTCACAAAATGATTCCAAAACGTCCGATCTTAGGAGGAAGTAGAAGAAATCTCTGGTTGCACAACACGCGGCTGTACATCAGGTTTGTACATATCGAAGTGCACATATGGGCGACAGGGCGCCCGCGTTCAAATGTAATTTATGTGTACAGTCTGTCATAGCACTGGAGTGGCCGACGCTAATCGTGTCCCTACCTCAACATCGCTAGCTTTCCAACCCGCAGCTACCTACTCAGCGGGTGTTATTTGACGTTTTCTTCAATGAAGGACCTGTAATCCCGCTTCATCCGGACCCCTTGGTACTCCCTGAAACAGAAACCACAGAAGGTGAGCATTTTGCAATAAACCCTCCTAAGGAACAATCTGTTCTGAGTATAGATGACTCGTGACGGCTAAACAAGGGAGCAGCGAAACACCCAAAGGAAGCTTCAATGCGGGACAAGGGAACAGCATTTGGAAAACGGCCCAGAAACGCATGCAAAAGGTGAACGCTACGTAGTAGCAATCCGACAGTCAGCAGCAGCACGAGACTCAATCCGGCGCCCTTCTTAACACAGCAGCGGAAGTCTTCAAAGGAGTGAAGCCCTCATCATTCCCTATCATTGATGCAAGATTTGGAAACAGCTGACGCAGATACGCCAGCAGATTCTTCGCTTAACGGGATGCGAAAGTGCACTCGATCGAAACGAGACGTGGACTGACAACACTATGATCAGTAAGACCCTTTCCCGTTTCGACGTCAGACAAACTTTCTAGAATCAGGAAGCGTTCCAGACTCTGCCTTACGAATACGAAAAAAGAACTTATGAATACGAGACAAGCCCACAAGCGGCTGGTCCGCCTTAATACATTAGCTGAAAGGCAAGCGGTCGGGGCTTACCCAAGTTTGGCCTTGTTCTTAAAGAAGTGCACCACCGGGGTTCCCATCACGCCCGCAGCTTCCGCGATCTCGGGGTCCTCTTCAATGTCAATCTCAACGAAGTGAATCTGGTTGGTGAACTCGTCAACAACCTGCACAAGACCAGCCCTGATTAGGGCTCCCAACGAAAGAAGTCTTGAGCCCTTTCTGAGTCACCCTGGATTGCAACTGGAACTGGACGAGAGGTGTCCTGTTTTTTACCGTCAGAACGGCCCTACGAACGTGGAAAAGTGAACGCTAACAACAAAAAGAAGCGTATGAATAGATCTTGATTCTCGAACGTCGATATGTGAACGGTGGGTAAGAAAAAGAAGCGTATGAACAGAGTTTGTTAATCAGGGAGCAAGAGGCAAACGTTCCAGGACTAATCAGATTAGACACCGTCAACCAGTCCACGTCTCGTCTCATCGGCTCCATGACATGCTAAACAATCTCAGCAACGACTTCGGGATTGTCGGCAACGACTTCGGGATTGTCGGCAACGGACTTCATGAAAAGAGCGAACTGGAAAAATGCAAAGCTCTGCAGTAACCAGAGCATGCCAATCAGCAGGTCGCTCTCGTGACGACGCCTTTGCTAACGAAGCCTTTGCTAACAACCAATTTCCCTTTCCAAAGAAAGGCTCAGGCGAGAACGCACCTTATTTAGGATGGGCTTAAGCGATCGGCACGGCCCGCAGGTCGGCGACGTGTAGAGGACGCCGATCAGCCGGTCGCTCTCGTGGTACAGCTTCCGGAGCGCGTACTGGCCTCGGTGCTTCGCGGACGAAAGGTCGAACTTCTCTTCAATGTCCTTCTCCGTGAACTCCTTCTTGGGCTGCACGTCTTCGGCGGCTGCCTTCTGCACAGAGACAAAGACAAGGTGTTTGAGATTTTGACGTCCCGGCAAGTCCTTGTTCCGAACCGAGTGAGGAACTCTGGATACTGCGGAGAACGCAGAAAGGATGGAAAAGCGTCCAACTTTTGCCTTCCCTGTCCCGATCTGTGGATCAACGTTTGCCTTCGTTGTCCCGATCTGCAAATCGGCTGCCTTTAGTGCAGTAAGTGGGCGAAGCACAATATTTCTAGACCAAGTTCCGCAATCAGCAAATCAGACAAATGCATTGTAACTGAGTCGGTTCTGCGGTAAGTGCTGGCCGTAATGCTCTATGATCGAACAGACTCAGATGCTCGCATTGAGCCCGCCTTCTGCAAAGCCTCGATGATGCAACCTAGCTAGTTCATGACCGCAGCTTGGCTGGTGATCTGGACAATGAAAAAAGGCAAGTCCTCATACGAACAGACTGGAAGACTCTACATCCACTTGATCAGCGCAGAAACGCATTGGAAAGTCCTCCCGAAGCAAATTCCAAGCGGGCTGATTTCGCAAGAACAAACCCTCGGCCATCCGCATAGCTACGCACCCCAAAACTCACTCCTAACAGAAAATAACCCCCGGCCTTCCACATAGCTACGCACCCCAAAACTGACTCCTACCACCAAAATGGACAACTTTGACACCCCTGAAAGTTGATGTAAGTAAGTGATTTGGAAGATGGGTTTGGATCAATAGAAACTCGCAACCCACCTGATGGAACTCTCGAACCAGGTTATTCGCCGTCAGGTACCGCTCCGCCATCAGCGCCGCCATGCACCCAGACCCCGCCGCCGTGATCGCTTGCCGGTACTCGTGGTCCTGCAGATCGCCCGCCGCATACACGCCCTCAACGCTCGTCTGGCCGCCTTCCGAGACCACCACGTAGCCCGCGTCGTCCAGCTCTAGTTGCCCGTGAAACAGCGAGCTGTTTGGCGAGTGGCCGATGCCGTAGAAGAGGCCTCGTACCTGGAGAAAAGCGAACGAGAAACTGTTATATCCAACTTCTATAATCCGAGTCGAAGGCCTTCTTCCGATGGTTCTCCAGGGAATGAACAGAGACTATGCGATCGGAGGCTGCCAACCCGCCCTGGACAGAATGAGAACCGTTTGGAAGTGTGGACGTGTGAGCGTTGGGGCGTTTCGGCCTTGGGGAGTTTGGGGCTCTTGATCGTTCTTATCTGCAATAAGTGAGACGAACGCGAGGAGCTTCTGAAACAGTTCGTGGCATAAGCATCAGTCTGCTCCAATGTCGTCCAACTTTTCTGCTCATATGGGCACGCCTCAAGCACCAAGCAGACCCGTAACTGGTACCGTTGCACTTAACAGGGTTACAATTCATCAGCGTTTGTGAGCTGACTGCGCACGCTTGCGTCAATTGGTATCAAGCAGAAGGGAAAGAGGTGGTACTTCACACGCACCTGTAGCTTCTCCTCCTTTCCGTCTTTGTTTAATAAGAGCCCCTCCATCTGCCCCTTGCTATTGGAAATGACATCCACAGCCTCCGTGTTGAGATGCACTGTGATATTTGGGTTGCCGAAGACCCTGCAAAAGGAGCAGATTCAACGGTCAGCAAAACTGCGACCCAAGAGCAAGCTTTCCGTCTGCTTTAACAACCCTTGGTAGAAGGCCTTCAGAGGGCTACTATGCCTTACATCTTCAATCAACAGTAGAAGCTGTGCAGTTCTGCCAACCTACGTATTGGATTGAAACACTCCATAGGCTCATAAACGGTTGCCAGGGGGCTCTCGCTTTCGAGATGTGAAGGGGCTTCAGGAGTTGCGGCGCTCGTCTCAAGCAAGAACTTAGGGGAGACCCCCGTGTAAAAACACCTAACTGACGGCAGCCTCCTCCTGAGGCGAACAAAGCAAAGCAGAGCCCCTTTACACTTCAATGACTTTGTAGAACCAAGAAAATGTGCTTCTCCAGCCAAACTTGTTCTCGCAACCTCGGATCCTCAGGAGTCTTCTATGCCGAGCGATCCTGGAGGTCCAGGACTACCCCCCCAGGCACAGCAACACGGACTGCTGAGATGTCATGTTGTCAACATACTAGTGCTGACCTCTGGAGTGGCTTGGCTGCAGGTCTGCGAGCTCATCAACAGGCCTTGTAAATACATCGCAGCACCTTCCTGAACAACCACCGCATCCGTCTACAGCGATTGTGACGCACTGAAAGCCAGACGGAGAGTGCTGCAACCAGCTCAACAAGTGACTCACTTGTCTTGCATAGCCTTGCTCGCCTTCATCTGTGACTTCCTCACGAGCAGATGCACGTGCCGAGCATACTTTGTCAGGTAGATTGTTTCCTCTGCCGCAGTATCCCCCCCACCAACTACAGCCAAATCCTGCCCCTTGAATATGGGGCTGGCCCCGTCGCAAATCGCACAAGCGCTGATGCCCCGCGACCAGAACTCGTGTTCTCTAGGGAGACCGAGCCGTTTGGCGGTGGCGCCCGTTGCAATGATGATGGAGTTTGCTTTGACCTCCCGCTCGCTACTCCGTATCTGCAACGCAGAGTGGTCGTAGGCTGTCAGTAGAGCAGGACAAGAAGCATCACCTGAATCCTATGTCTCTTACCCGCTGCACTGCCCTTGTCTTTTCCTTGCAGAGAACAAGCGTCGATCTAAGCCAGCAAGGCGATATGCCATGAACATGTGATGTAACTTGGATTGCTCCTCTCAAGCTGCTCCTGAAGAATCCCAGACGAGAAACGTTGACAGACAAGCTTTCTTGTCCACCGGTGTTCAGCAGATCAAAAGCGCTGGCAAAGTCTGCCGACTGAAAGGCGCTAGCAGAAAAAGTACAATCTGTAGTCTCCAATCGTCCAGATGGCTGAGAGAGCAACAAAACAAATGGTTCAGCCTGAAAACCGAAAGGGTAAAACGGGGCTGACAGAACAGGTCTTCACAGGGCTCTGTGACTGAGAAGCAGGTCAGCTCACTGTGAATGGTCGCTGTGTGATGTCTACATGCTCCACATCCTCTGTGTAAAGCTCCGCCCCCCACCGCTCGGATTGTTTCCTCATCCTGCGCACACGAAAAGCCAGCACTGTCGGACTTAGATGGTATTCGCTGGCCAGTAGGTGTCCAACGGTGCTTCATATGTACCCACTCTTAAGATTTCACAGTTGCAAAAGTTGGCGCATGTCTGCCTTCACCATTAGTGCAACAATATATCGGCACAGTGGACTTGCGGCCATCTCAGACCAAACAGAGAAGCTTGACTCTTGGGTCGATAGAAAGTGTGCAAAGGAGCAAGGTCCACCATGCCTGGCAGATAGAGGTTCTGCACACATACACTTTCTGATCCAGGGTTGATCACAAGTGGAGCATACCCACCTGTCCATCAGATCTGGACCAGTAATGCCCTCCGGAAAACCCGGAAAATTTTCCACCTCAGTGGTTGTCATAAGCTGCCCCCCCGGCGACCCTCCCACCTGATATCCTTCGAACATAACCGGCTTGAGATTAGCACGCCCGGCATAAATGGCGGCTGTGTAACCAGCCGGACCAGATCCTATGATCACCAGATTCTCCACGACATCACCTGCACAATATACAGGGAGAATAAATGCTCTGTACCGGCTGTTTTGCGTGTGTCAGGTAAAGGGGTTCTGGAAGGCAACACCGCTGCAAACCAGGATTTCGAACTTGTGACTGTGCAGGGCTTGATGTGGTCGACCTTGACAGGATAATGCTGCCACTTAACGAACTTCTGGAGCGAGAAGGCTGCCCTGGTAAACAGAACAAACATACGACAGTCTGCTGGTTGTGACTTACAGATGCTCAAGAAATGCCCTCAGCTTGATTCTACTTTTATGAGATCCTTGACGTCTCACATGTACATATATTGACCAGCCTACACGCGGCTGCAATCATTTTATAAAGACATTCTGTGGAGAGAACGTGTGCACACCCGCTCAAGGAGAAATATGCACCATTACCAATGATCCCTACTGCCAGGACACAGATAGACCAACAAGACAAGAAGCAGAAGCTTGAACACCAAAAAGTTCCCAAAAAAAAGCCGATGAGCTCGCGCAAAGCTTTTGGCGCCACTCGTTAAGGATGACTCATCCACGTCACAACTTGAAAGAAAGATCCACAGAGGAGATGTTTTCGTCCTCAGGAAGGCAACTGAAACAGAGGCATGGAACCACGTCTGCTTGAATCCAGCCTGCATCCACGGATGTACCATCTACCATCTACTTGCAATTTCTTTCTCCTCTCAAGCTCTCCTGCAGTAAGGAAGGGAAAAGCATCTCACCATCTTGAGAATCTGTGGAAGGTGGAGCTTCCTCTGTTGCCACAGCTGCACGTATTTGACCCCCCTGCCTCTTTTCTATTCTTGCAGTGCGAGCCACCCCATCAAACCCAAAAACCTCTACCCTTCGAATTTTTTCCAATCTGGAGGAGGGCCTTAGACCCCTTTTGTGCACCCCCGCGCCTGGAGGAGTCCGCAGGAATGCTGCCCCTGTTTGATCGCTGCAGGAACACGACTGGTTCCTTGACAGAGCGCCGGAGAATGTCTGAGCAGACGACCGCAGGATTGCTTGACTGCTCATTGCCATGTCTCCAAAAGCTGGCAAGAAATCCGCTGATAAGATTCAATCCAGAAAACCAAACAAGTTCTCTTCAACTACCAGTGACCTATCCACCACCGCCGCACTTCAACAAAAAACCGAGCAGACTCCGTATGGGGCGAAAAACAACTTCTCTGCGCAAGCACTGCCCCTTCCCCTCCCAACAAAATGCTGCCCTTGCAAAGGCCGAAAAGCTTTTCAATGAGCAACGTTGCTTTGCTCCTTTCTTCTGAAACAACGTGGAGTTCTAGAAGTCGACCTCCGCCATTGCGCGAAGCTGCTGCGTCAGCGTTTTCTGCGGCACACTCGTAGCCAAGCTCGAAAGAGTCGAATGGAGATTCCCTGCTCCGATTGTCAGAAACTTCTGGGATGTTTGCGGTGTGGAAGCGCCGGCGAATCCGCATGGATAACTCTCGAGCAATGCTAAGCGTCCACGTGTACAAAGTTCTTACGCGATAGCCGCAATTCAATCGTGCTCGCTTGCTTGTGACACTGAAAGCTTCTCTTCGCATTGTGTTCTTCGTGGCTTTCAGAGCTCTGTTTCGTACTTCTCTTTCCCTTTCCGTGAGCGCTCTACAGAAGGCTCCGCCAGCTTTTTGGGGACGTGCTTGAAGAATAATGGCGTCGCAAGCTGCCCTCAGCAGCCTACAGGCCGCCAGCCCCTCCGGCTTCGCCTTCAGGAAGGCGGTCGGCGGGGACCAGATCTTGGCATGCCCGCAAGGAGGGCTTGCCCCCATCAGGGCGGCCACAAAAGTCATCCCTAAAAAGATAGCTCCTCCCAAGAAAAACACCGGCACCCAGAAGATAGCGAGCGGGACGCAAATCAAAAAGAGCGGGACACAGATTGTTAAGAATGCGGCGAGCGCGGCAGCCAATGGTGCAGCGTCACTCCCTAGGAAAGCGGTACGGAGACTCGTGCTCTTGTTTACTCGTTTCGTTCCTTTGGATGTCGCTTACGACTGTTTTATCGCTTCATCAAAAGTTGTCTGTATCCCAAAGAGACTTGGGAGGGGAGGCGCTGCATCTGGTGACTGCATTGCCTCTTGGCAACAGCCCTCGATGTAGAACATGCAGATCTGGGATCAGCTTAAAGGAACCAACAACGAATCCAGGGCGCTGCATTCAAATCTCATCTCAGAGCAGCATTGCTTGTCTGGATTGGCTTGAACATGCCTGGACTCTGCTGAGCTTCCTAAGGAGTAGAGGAGATTGTTTCTTTGCTGCACCTGCTTTTCGATGGCCCACATTTGCAGCTGAATAGTTTGCCTTCAGTGCGCCCACATTTGCCGTTGAATATTTTGCCTCAGTGCAATAGATCTTTTCTCCATACTTGCACAACTGCAAGCCCTTGACTCCACCCTGGATTACATTACATGACCCAAGGAATCTTGTCCGTGGAGCTCATCATGCTGTGTGTGCGCTGCTGCAAGACCAACGGTTACTCTTGAGCCAGTCCTGTTCTAGACACTACGGTAGAGCCGATTGCGCCAGATCTAGGTTCAGCTTAAGAGACACTCGGTTCGCCTGAGCTACACATGTTGAACCCAGTCTGTCATCTACTGTTCAGGTTGACAAAATGGAAGACCTTTTGTATGGTTTCCCATCTTCCTTTTTGTGTGGTTTCCCATTGATCAACCCTAGCAAGTAGGTTCTTTTGCATGAACCCTCTAGAACATGCAAACAAGTGTCAGGCCAGCATTGTCGGCGCTGCAGCTGAGGCTATGATGATTACCATCTTGACTGATAGACGCAAATTATTTGTCAACTTGGAATGGAGTTTCCACATTCCGAGCACTCATTTCAATGAATGAGTGCTGCGTCGAGTGTGAAAAAGGATGCATTTTCATATCACATGGTTAAAGACTTAGAAAGGCAGTTCTGCAAGCGGCTTTTAAAAATTTAAAGGAGGCTGTTTATGAGTGGCAGCTAGATATTGGAAGCTTGACCATAGTTTCGTTTAGGGGTCAGCATTGACTGATAGCTTATCACATCTGTTGTGGACATGTTCTGAATCTGCATCTATGCGTGTAATTCTGCATTGTGTGGATACGGATGGATTTCTTGTGAAAGTTTCATCAAGTAGTCTAATATAAGTCTGCAAATTTCAGGTGCCTCGGCCAATAATGACGTGACCTTAAAATGGAGTTCGCATAAACAAAGATTTATTCTGGTGTGCTCTGGCAGACAGTACAAGCTGCCTTTTTCTTTGCGCAGCAGTAGCTGATATCAAAACCATATTTGCATCTTAAAACGAAAGAAACAGATTCTGAGGTTACTTCGTTTCTGCTTATCCTCTGATGACTGTGTTTTACAACGGTAACTTTGCAAGCAGGTTGCCGCTGCCAGCAACGCCCTTTGGACATAGGACGCAATGCGTTCGCATCATTCTAAAAGATCTTATGATCGATTCACCAACGTTGCTGGCTGAAGACTTTGATGCGCATGTTTCAAAGTTTCTGCACTTATTGGTGGCAGGAGTGCGGCTCGTCTCAGACGCCTTCAGCTGCAGCCTCTTTTCACGGTGTTGTTTCGATGTGCGGTTCCAGAACCACCAGGAGACAGTATATCACCTATGACCGACTTCCATCACTGAGCTCCGTCAATGTTGGCAGGTGCCTCCAGTGACCTTCATAAGCATTGAGTGGATACCTTTGAATATTGAAGAGCTGAAACGCCCATGTCTCTCTCTGCCGCCACTTGAATGCGGTTTCCCAGCAGAACAACAAGGCCGCATGAGGAACAAGAATGAAGTTGTGAGGAGCAAAGTGCCCCGTCTTCGTTGTGTCTGTCCCGACTTTTTATGCGAGTTGGATCTTCATTGTACTGGGAATCGGTGAATTTCCTAATGATATCTTCTGTTCCATCTTGCAGATCAAGGTTGTGGAGGTGTTTGGCCCCAAAGAAACCAAGGGCCTGATCAGGGACAAGCGGAATATTTCTGGGGATGTGAAGGTGCTCAGCAGAGTGCAGGAGCTGCGCCTCCTGACAAAGGTTAGTGTAAAAGAGCACAAACTCCAGCTCTCTTTTCATTCAAGAGTTGAGGACTAATCTCTCTTTTCGTGTGGTTCCACTGTGAGGTGCACAGCTGGGTGCCGGATTTGCATCCGTTTCATAAGGTGAGTCTTGAAGCGCGTACTCATCTGGATTTCCCCCAAAGTCTGAGTTTGCTCCAACTCGAGTTTTTTTTAGACGGTCCATTTCTCGCATCGTTGAAGGCTGCAGGATTTGCAGCTTTCCAGAGGTGTCGAAGCATCTTTGTCAAATCGGGACATGCAATATGGTCCAAATCCTATAGCTGGGAAGTTGAGGCGTTCCGGCCTTCCCATCTCCATGTGCGGCAGAATATCAGATTCACTTCCTTTGAGACTGTAGAGGAAAGGTTGGCAGCCCTCGAACTGGTCAGCAGTACTCCTCCAGCATCTCAGGTCCAGTACTGAAGGCTGCTGTCTGGTCCTTGTACAGAATCATTTGACACTTTTCCACGTTTGCCATGCCCCTCCGTATGCCACACCCGTGGAGATACCTGCTGTTTGCTGAACTAAGAGATGCACTCGATCAGGTCTTTGGATCAGTGGCTGCTGTCTTGGTGGTCAATTCAAGTTTGGAGATCCTAAGAACAAACTCTTTGAACGTGGAGCGCTATAGTAAAGGGTTGCTCCTCAACTCAATGATGGTCTCCTATCATCAGAAATCCACATCGAAGTTACGGCAAACCCCCTTCTGCTCACTGTATACCGACAGAGAATGCTTTCTTTGTAACGGCCCATCAAAACCCTCCCGTAAGAGAGAGATTATGAGCTTCTTTTCAAATCAGAACTCAGATACGAATATTTTGCCCGAAGAATCTTGCTTTAGACTATATGAACCTCAACTGTTGTCAGAGATGGAATTGTCGCTCTGCCTTCGTCAACTTCTGGTTTACCACCAACATCAGCGCCTTCACATTCAGAAGCAACTCGGGCTGACTCTGACAACCTCGCTTGGCCCCAGTTCAATGGACGGTCTCGAGCTCAACGTTTCCTCGGAGCTTTTCGCTGCAGATTACCGAAAGTTGCCGACCTGACATTGTGTACTTTTGCGTCGACAGGCCGAAGAGTCCGGTCTTCTGTCCACGTTGGAAGGGCTCGGTTTCACTTTGAGCACCATTGAGTCCCTCGGCTTGCTCTCCAAGGCCGAGGATTTGGGGCTCTTGGGTGCCGTCACCGACAGGAAACTGCCCGGTAAGAATGTTTCTCCCGGGCTCTCGCTTGATTTTTGTAGGGTCACGAACCACGCTGTCTGACTCTCGCTTCTTTCGCCTACTGTTGTCAGACAGGCCACTCAGGCTGTCACCCGCAGATTTGTTAAAATCCGAAAGACTTGCACAATGTCGTTTTGAGGTTCTTTTCCAGCAAGAGCATGTTTGCAGTGGTGCCTCTTGGTTTCTCACGTGTTCGAACTGATTCGTGTCGAGAACTAGCTGCATGGTTAAACCACTTGACGCTGATTTGCAGAGGCCTGCTTTTAGATGTGAAAGTGCGTCGTGGCGTGTAAGAGCTTCTTTTCTTACACATGTCAACGTCCCTTGCAAAGGTCCTTACGAAGGACTGGCCCTCACGCGTTTCTTCTTTGCAGGAACTCTTTTGCTAGCTTCGTTGGTCGTTCTGGCCGCTGGCCCCGCTATTGTATACTTTGGTCCTGAGGACTCGAGTGCCATCGTTATTGCTGAGTATGTAGTGGCGGCTCTTACTGTTGCCGGAGGAGCGGCGCTGTTTGGTGCCTCCAAGCTTGTCAAGGCCCTACAAGCTTAGTGTTGAGTGATAATATTTAGGCGCGGTTTGAACTCCCCTGGCTTTGTTCTGGCTACTGGGTCCTCTGTCGCAGTTTTGTGTCCCCACAATAACGATGTCTCGATCACACCGGCCAGCAGGTATGCATGTACGTTGATGGTCAGCATAAGCAATAAAGACATGGCCGGTCCAAACGACTCACTGGCCTTCTCCCTGCGTGTAACTTCAAGCCAACTGAAGAGCAGAATTCTCTTTCGAAGTACTCCAGGATATTTGACTCGCCTGCTTCTTACAAATATGATGAATGTTAATCTCTCTGGAGCAATGATTTTAGTCGTCCGCAAGCTAAGCGCGGTGACTGCCTGAGCTCAGTCCTTCCGGCAAGTCACACTGAGTGACCGCATCGGAACTTAAGAGGCTTTTAGTATGTGTGCAGACGCGGCACGCATGTGAGTTCCATCGTATCATAGTCCGACCGCCGGTTCGCATGGATCATGACCATTCATGCATGGACGATCATGCAGACCATCGCGGTATATATGGCATGGCCAGGATCGATGATTGAGGCGCTTTTGGCCGCCAGAAAGTCCTCCGTAGTGCTCCCCCGCGCGTGGATAATCCTAGCATTGTACGACATGCATATAAGACATAGAAAGGGCAAAAGCGGGGAAATTGCACGATCAGAATACGAATTTCCTAGCTATAGCGGGCATATACGTGACAAATGCTTAAGGTGGTAGGACGGTATTCGACAATGGGAGCGCATTCAAAACCCTATCATATCTTCATGTAGACATCATGGAATCGCATTCCGTTTTTTCGAGGTGGTTGGAGGCATTGAAAGGCATCTTTAGAAGCCCCTCAACCTGTGATACAACATGCCAAAGCAAATCGAAGCACATGACAAGTTGGCAAGATGTGCAGTTTTCGCTGCAGGACCCCCCCGGCAAAACGGCTTTATAGGAATATTTTTGAAAGATAGAATTTGCTCGGAAGGGAGGCATTCAACATGGGGGGAAGCTGGGATGTCAAAACATTTTTTGTAGCCCAACTTCTAAGGCGGTGTACCAAATACCACCATGTTTTTCCGGAAATCTCCCAAAACTGCACAAAACAGACGTTTTCCGGAAAAACATGGTGGTATTTGGTACACCGCCTTATAAGTTGGGCTACAAAAAAATGTTTTGACATCCTAGCTTCCCCCCATGTTGAATGCCTCCCTTCCGAGCAGATTCTATCTTTCAAAAATATTGCCATAAAGCCGTTTTGCCGGGGGGGTCCTGCAGCGGAAACTGCACATTTTGCCACTTTGTCACGTGCTTCGATTTGCTTTGGCATGTTGTATCACAGGTTGAGGGGCTCCTAAAGATGCCTTTCAATGCCCCCAACCACCTCAAAAAAACGGAATGCGATTCCATGATGTCTACATGAAGATATAGGGTTTTGAATGTGCTCCCACTGTCGAATACCGTCCTACCACCTTAAGCTCGTACTCTTCGCCTTCAAAACATCTTTTGACGTTGCCAAAGCTTCGATCAAGAAGATCTGGTGCAAAGGATCATCATACAATATTATTGTAGCTTGATAGCCTGCATGTAGAACCAGGCAGTACCTATGCATGGTCCCTCTCTCCCCACAAAAATATTTCCGGCGGAACACGTGCAGCTAGCAGCCGGAGCCGGACTCCCGTTGCACCTTGGCATGAAATCGGGCGGAAGTTGTGTTCGAGATAAGCGGCGCTCCCCCATGGCCTGCGGCAGAGTAGGTACCGGTATTCATACCCGGGCGGGTAGCCCTTCCGATCCGGCGGAATGCAACAACCAAAGGCGACGTTGATGTCAGCCGAAGCAAATGAAGAGGAAGGTGCTGAGCAGATTCAAGGGACAGCTGGCAACGCGACAAAGGCTAGCACTCTGCAGGCGGCGCGGCGAAGCCTGGGGAGGTGAGACAGGCAAGGCTGGCAAGGAGACGTCACGTTCAAGCCCTCCTGAACCGCCTCAATGGGACTTGCAAGACGTCTGGACTTGGAGCTGCATTGTCTGTCGTGGTGCAATGTTTTGTGAGGTCAGAGAGCGACCGCAGCGCGCTTTGAAGCGGCTGAGCACGTTGACTTCTAGGAGAATCAGCAGCAACAAAAAATTAGAAGACATTCCTGGGCAGGCCTGTGCAAAAAAATGCTCTCTCAAAGACTGAAGAGTCCACCTCCAGGCTCCAGGGATTGGGACGATCGTGGAAAAGACTGATTACCTTGCTGTCCTGAAATTGGTTCAAGGTCTAGGCTACACAGCTACAAATGCGTCTGGCCGAATTGTAGTCGAACCGCTCGTTGCTACATCTGGTTGTTAATCGAGTCAGCCCGCAGAGTGTCCTGCTAGTCTAGGCCCAAGCCGGATCACGCAGAATGGAGACAAAAGAAGCAACACGTTGAACCTGCTCAAACCCTGTGTTGTTACACGGTCAAATCCACTTCCAGAAAAACTCAGAGTCTGAGATGGAAGCCGGCACACCGGTGGGTGCGCCCACCAGTATGGACAACCCTGGGTGGCGCAACCCTGACCAGATTGCCCTGAGACACGCAAGCGGGATTCCAGGGTTTCACGTGAGCTACGTGCATGCGAGCACCTCGCTGTCAGACCCCCGGAGCATCCGTGCGGTCTGCTTCCGGGACGGTCTGTTGTTGGGCGGGCTGTTCCTGGTGTCTCTGCTGATCAACCTGCGGGTGGGATGGCGACCTTGGAGGATTTACAGGCAAGTCACCGTGCCCGTATGTCTCCCGCTATGAAGTCCAATTCTCAAAAATTGCTTTCTTTTTGCTGTTCTTGGAGACTCTGGTGATCAACCTGAGGGTCAGATGACGACCGTGCACGATGGCCGGGCAGGCTGCTATGAGCTAATGTCTCCAGCTTCTGTATCAAGACTCAAACGTTTGTGTACTCTCTCGCTTGGGAGAAGAATCCACGGGCAAGTTTCTATGCCCTTATCTCTCTCCAGCTTATGTACCAGGATTCTTGATGTTGCTTACATTTTGTTTGGGCTGAAGGAAGGCTCGCAGTACTGAAAGTTCGAGATACGGGTATGATCTCCTCATTGCCCCTGCTTTGTGGCCTTTGCGGAGCTTGTCTGCTTCAACCTTGAGCTTGAGGTGCTTCCATTTTCAGCCTGGCTTGATATAAGCCCCAACATTCTCAGTGTGTCAGAGTACAATTGTGGAGAGAAAGTCTGTGGAGAACTGAAGGGATGTGTTACAGTTTGTCGCATCATGAGTTGCTCTCTTCTTGCCGCGGATTCTTGCACCTCATTTTCCGGGCATTCTGTCGAATGCATTTGCCACTCGGGAGTTGTTGCAAAACCCAGAAGTCGTTGCAAGATTCCCGAGAAAAGTCCAAAACGTGTCAAGTGGGGCCGTTTGCTGCTTTCTAAATTGGATCCTTATCAACCCATGCAAATGGAAGGCTGACGAACTCTAGGTCTCGGGGACAGAAAGTCTGCATGTCGACGGCGCAGATTCAGCACGGCTGTCTCCAGTTGCAAGCTTGGGCAAGCACCCTTTGCATTGTGATCGAATGGGGCTGCGGTGCAGTTGGAGACGTCTGAGACGTCTGCGTAAACTCGGTTGTTGATGACTAAGTTTTGAGGTCAGATTGTTCGTTGTCCTTTCAATGACTGTTGACGACAGTTGCAAAAGACTGTCAACAAAGCAGTCAGCCTGTTCAGATCCTTTTTGCCCATGTTGGTTCGTTCTGGTGCGTCCACGCAATGCTGAGCTCATGCAGCAGCATGCAGACGGCGGATTTACACTCCTTCTGCGGACTTCCTTTGCTCAAGGAGATGAGAGGTTGCCAGAGGTCTTATCTTGACCGCGCAAAACTCAAATTCCTGCACATACTGTCTCCTCGAACTGTGCTTGTGCAGGGAGCGGCTCTTCGTCCATGCATTTTCTGTCACATCGCTTTCCTCGTGTCTGACCTCAGTCTGACTGGGCCCCGAAAAGGCTTGTTGAATCTTTGATTCTCCTTGCAGTCTTTTGGCCCCGAGACAGTGCGCCTCAGGCCAGACTCCCAAGCATGTGTCTGGAACAGTCCGGATTTGGCTGCATTCTCAGTGTGGAGGCCTGCTTCGGAGTTCTGCTATGTCATGCACTTTTTTCCGCGTCAAAAGTTGCCCATTTCTGCTTCGCTCTTTGCTGTTATTCAAAGTACTGATCTGCTGGCAATGGGCTTTATAGGACAGGGGCACAAGTATAGGAGGCTTTTTTGGAAGAAGGTCTTTCCTGGTCAAATGCAATGCAGCCACTGACATAGAGCAGAGGCACCAAGAAAGGGGAAGGGAGGGGGTGAGGGGGGCCTTTCTCGTAACTCTATATCTCACTTCTCAGCCTTTCCAGTAACACAGCTGGTTCGTTTCACCCCCGTCCACCGGTACAGTCCAGAATTCCCCCCTCTTTCCGAGTTGCTTCATCTCATTCTTCCCAGCTTCTATTGGCACCCCTCCAGTATTTCACGTTCCCCAGCTCTCTTCCACACCCCTCCAATCAGGCACTTGCGCTCCTGAAAGTGTTGGCACTCCTTATCCAATCTTCTTCCGCACCCCCTGAATACCAAATCCACGGCCCTAAGAAAGTCCTCCTTTGCACTGCTCATTCACACCTCTCCTTGTCTTGCAGTTGGGTGTACTCTCTGAACTGGCCCGCCTGTCTCGAGGGCGTCCTCCTCGGGACCATCTGCGGCGCGACAGCTTTCATTGCGTGGGCGGCCGTGATCTCTCCCGTTGCCATGTCACTCGCCTGGGGCGCGGAGCTGATCCGGGTCATCAATCCTAACAGCATCGGGTTAGCGGTGATGATGCCCGGAACAGCGCTTCTGCTCGCGCTGTACGCTCTCGGGCTATGGTACAAGACCAAATGGCAAAGCTCCCGTGAGTGGCAATGCCGCTTTTCGCAAATCGTAGAAAGTTTCAGAAGGATCTGAACATGTTCTCTGATAAAGATCATGATCAAAGTCCAAGTGGCAAAGCTCCCGTGAGTGGCAATGCCGCTTTTCACAAATCCTAGAGAGTTGCAGAAGGTTCCAGCATGTGCTCCGATAGAAATCATGATCGACGTCGTGACTGGTTTTCTTGCTGTAGGCTTTGCTTTCTGCGTCCAGGCTAGCTGTTTGCCCCGTCATCCATTCTCCTTCCCTGTGCCCTTGCGGAACCAGGAAGGACAATCATTCTTGCAGTTTTCGCTGCATTGCCCTCGCTCAACTCCCTCTTTGTAGCCTCTTTCTGGAGAAGGCTCTCAATAGTCGTTTCCTTTCGTCCAACTTCTGGGGCACAATTTCGAGCCTTCCTCCCAACGACAATCTAGGGTACCAAATATGATCTGCAAGATCATGTCAATCGCTCCTGATTGGCATTCTGTGGCACTCTATCAAGCACTTCCAGCCATTGGTCAAAGAGTCAGATTCGGAAAACCTCTGTGTGCAGGCGCGGCGTCTGGCCTCCTGTTCGTTGCCGTCCTCCTGTTGTGCGCGTACGAGGTCGCGGCCGTTTACATCAATACTGGCATCCGCAACTCCAGCATACCTACCGAAAGCTCCGGCTACTTCTTTGGCATCTCCGCCATTGTTGTCGGGATTGACCTCCTCCCCCTGATCAAGATGGTGTTCAGTGGTCCGGGCTTGAACGTGGACGAGTGGGTGACACAAGCATACCTGTACGCGCGGACTCTGTCCAAGGTGAGGGAATTCTTAAATTGCAAGTTTTCAGGACCTTGAAACTAAGAAGGGCTCAGCTCTTATGACCCTGAACCCAGGGCTGTGATCTGGAGGAAAGGTGGGGAGCTTAGGGATGCAGGGATTGGTTTAGAGCTTAGGATGCTATTGATGCCAGGAGTCAGAGCAGGTCTGACGCCTCGATTGTCCAGAAGTCAACTTTGCATGGGGGCCAGAATAAGGTGTGTAGGATTTTCAGGGTCGCGTAGACCACTGGGTGTATGCAAGGCATGTTTCTATGCGTGCATGCTATATATCGGAGGAGTGAGCATCTCCGGGGACATTGTGGAAAGAAGACGGACAAGGGTGCCGCATCAAGTGTTAGGTTTTGTCTTCCAACTGTGATTGGCATGCCTTTCTGCGTTTGCCTTCGCAACAGCGGGAAAGTGGGGTCGGTCTTCTTATGGGTGTAGTTTGAGAAACGACTCGTTTGTGGGTTTGATGATCAGCGAGAGGAATAACAGCCAGTATGACCACTTGGAATCAGGAGGTCTGGTGAATAGCAGATTCAGAGCGGGTTTAAGCACACCTTTATGCAACTACTTCGCAAAAGGTCGATTGCAGGGTGAGATATGAGCTCGCGTCTTGTAGTCAAGCCTTTTCATTATTTCGCTTTGCCTCTCATTGCTTGATTTACTGTTCTGGGCTTCGTGCTTCGGGGCTTCAGGCTCCAGGCTTCTGGCTTCTGTTTCAGTTCAAAGCGAACTGACACGTCTGGTGATTTCGTGCTGCTTTTGTCTGCCATCTAAAAGCCCCCTGTTCTCTCAACCCCGTCTGCAAAACACTAATAACAAAGCAGTGACTAATGCTGATATATTCCTTCACTGATTGCAGACGGGCGTGCTGCTCAAGTCCCAGTCCGGCCTCCTCCTAGAGGGCCAGCCCGCAGACCCGCCCCAGGTGCCCAACTGCGAGACCGACGCGCGCCTCAGGCGGAAGCGCAAGAACGACAAGCTGCTCTACAGCGCGTCCGCTCTCACTCTCCTCATCTACTCAATCGTCTACTATTACACGGCGGACAAGGCCCGGTGGCTGGGGTTCATCACCTCGACCGCGCTCATCGTGCTCGACTGCGTGACCGGTTCGTTCCTGCTGCAAGCGGCCGAGTACGAGGCGTCGCTGCGCAAACCGCTGAAAGAGCGCAAGAGCAACAAGATCCTGGTCAAGCCGCCGCTGAGGACCCCCGCGCAGGCGCTGCTCCTGGTCTGCGCGTACCGATTGCTCCTCATCAGCTTCGGGATTAACTACTGGTTCCTCGGGCATTGCCTCGCGTACGTCCTCGTCGGGTCGCTTCTCGCGATCGCGGCCATGATGCGCTTCTTCCCCGTGGTCAGCGAGAGCGAGATGCGGCGGCAGCTGTTCCGGGACACGATCGAGAAGCTGCGCGGCGCGTTCCAGACGCCCACTCACAGCCAGGTCCTCTCCGGTCACTTGGCCACGAACTTGCACCGAGAACCGCCCAACAGACTGAGCTTCGTCCGCGAGAGCTCTCTCGAGGGCAGCTTTTCGGCCTCGTCTTCGGACCTAGATTCGGTTGTCGGGGGCGCGCGGCGCATGGGAAGTGGGAGTAGTTCTGGAGGGGAAAGGGAGAGAGTGGGGTTGAGGGAAGCGAATAAGGTGAAGAGTGGGTTAGGGGCCCAAACCGGTCTGGGGCGGGTTTCGGAGGATCGTGTGGGAGTGGAACGGGCGAGGGACGCGAGAGCCGTGGCGGTGGGGGCAAGCGGTCCAGGGGCGACTTCGGGTGGGGTTTTGAGGGAGGCGAATAGAGTGAGCAGTGGGGGGGCCGATCGGTACACGCTTCTACGGGGGGCGAAAGGGGGCGAGGTTGAGATGGCGAGAGATGGAGACTCTCCCCGACGCTGGTCGAGTGGGGGGATCGACGAGGGGGGGCATCTCGGAGAGCGTGATGCAGCTTCTGGTGCGGGGGTGGGGACGAGCTACGGCATGCCGATGGCGCAAAACATGACCCGGGGGGGGCATCCGGGGTTTAGTTATGCAAACCCGCTCAATAACGGCGCAGTCGGGGGGCAAGAGCGCGGGCTTCAGTATGATAACGGCGGAGTGACGGTGGGGCAGAGCGGGTTAAGCTATGGTTACCCAGTGCCCAACGGTGGGGTTTCGGCTTCTACGCAAGGAGTCCAGTATGGTAACCCGGTGTTCGGCGGCGCGGTTAGGGGCGGACAGAACGGGGTTAGCAAGGTCGATTCGCCGAGGGTTAATGGCTGGCAGGAGAGCGAGTCCCCCAGGGCTTTCCCCGGGGGGTCCGAAATAGCATACAACACCACACCCCACAGCGGGGAGATCCTGCCCGCCGAGCCTGCGAGTGTCAAGGAGAAGAAGCCCCCACAAGACCTGCTGCGCTTGACACTGGCCGAGGAGGCGATGGTTGAGCAGGGCGACGCAGAGAAGCGGCGGCACGCGTGCGAGCAGCGGGTTAGGGGGGCGCTTTTGGCTGTGGCGGGGACCCCCGGAAAAGTGTGGGGCCTGCTGACGCTGCTGTTTGTGATGGAGACGGTTCTCATGGCGCTCTCGACGCACCCCAAAGTGGAGCTCATCAATGATCCGCACGAGCAGGTAAACCCCGTAACACCTCCGCCGCTTGCGCCTTGCTCGTGTGAACGGATTTTATTGCAACGGTAATGTGGTTGCTTGAGACATAGGGTCTTCATGATTTCGAACCTGCAAAGGGTTTGCTCTCCCTCGAGCTTGGCGTGGTGCTAACGCATGTCGTCCAAAGGTAATGTATAACCGGATCAAGATGCTTGGCAGGTTGAGCCGCCCTACTTCGAGATCGTTTGACACTTTTACCCGTCATAAGAAGATGCTTCTCTTTGCTCCCGCTGTGCTTAACAAGCCATTCTTGACCCCTTTGCAGTAGGATTTGACTTGTAGACCTTGCCTTATCGTCGGCCGTGTCTCCTTCCTAATTCTTTGATGAATGATCTTCTCCTTCCCCCCCCAAATGATCGACCACTGATTTCTTACCCCACCATTCCGCAATACGAGTTCGGGCATAGCGAGCCTCCTGTTCACCTGCAAGATATCATCCTCTTCTAAAATCTTCCTTCTCCCCCCCCCGTTTGACAAGCTTCTTCTACCCCCCCGTTGCAGTACGAGTTCGGCATCGCGAGCCTACTCTTCACCTTCCTGGCCGCCGTGCTCACCGCCCACTGGCGCTCCCTCCGCCAGGCCGGATTCCGCCCCTCGTGGGGCGTCGTCCTGGGCGGAATCGGCGGAATGGCCGTCTCGATGGCCACGGGGCTCCTCCTCGCATACCTGACCAACAGTTCGATCATCTTTGCGCTCGCGATAACGCTCCCGTTCCTCGCGGCGTGTCTGTCGGTCGGCGGGCCGGTATGGCTGGGGAACGGGTGCCAGTTCTTCGCCCCGAGGAAGGTGCCAATGGAGGGGCAGCTCTTCAGTCTTGGGGGATTGGCGGTCACTAAGAAGGTGAGCGGTGGTAGTTTTGGGAGTCATGTCCGGTTTCTCATCCACCCTTCAAGCAGACTCTGAAATCATTTCCAGTCTTAGAACTCTTGAAGTGGGCAAGAGTTCCGAGTAGAGGTCAGGTCCCAAAAACAAGTCCAAAATTCGGAATAGATGCCCATTCTCTGAATCTGAGGTTTAAGAGGGCTTCCTGGTTCCCCCTTGTTTAGGACCTGCTTGTCGTCCTTAAAGCTCTCATCAATGGCCGGCCCCTTGTCCGTCTCCCCTCGAAATCAGCTTGATGTTTACTGAATCGGTTTTCAAGCTGTCCTTAAGCCTGATGGTACCGCCTCCCCAATATGTTCTGCGGTGAACTCTTGGTTCTGGTCGAAGTCGTTTCCATCAGGAAGCATGAGCCTCACCACTGACTCTCTTTCTCAGTGTTCCAAACTGAATCGGCACACTTTATGTTCCAAGTTTGGAACGAAAATATCAGCTGTCCTTCTTCTCTCTTTCTTTTCCGGACACCCTGATTGCGTTCGAGTTTCTAGCCGAGGTCAACTTTTCTCTTGCAGAAAAGTTACTGCTACGCACGTAGGTATTGAACAGATGATGTCGTCAAAGACATAGTTTCAGCCATTCTTGTCTGCCCCGCAGAACCTGCTGACGGTTCTCTTGATTTTGGTCAATAGCAGCTCCACTTTCCTGCATGGGCCTTCTCCTTGCAAAGTCAATTGCACAGATATGAACCATTTTTTGCTCGCAGGACCTGCTTATGGTTCTCGTGATCCTCGTCAACGTCGGCTTGATGTCTGCATGGGTCTTCTCATTACGAAGCCAACGGCACAAAATAAGTCAACTTTATCGAATTTCGTCTGCAGGAACTTTTGATGGTACTCGTGCTCCTCGTCAACGTTGGCTCATTCGTCTGCATGGGCTTAGAGATTGCGCACTCCAGTGCACATGAAACAAAATTCCAGTTCTTTTCCAGTTCTTTTTGCAGGACCTTGTGATGGTTCTTGTGATCCACGTCAACATCGGCTCGATCATCTGCATGGGTAGACCCGTTGCGAATTCAATTGCACAGATTTGGAACCAACTCGGACTTCCGCTTGCATCATTCCGCTGGCACCATTTCCCTCAAGCCGTTTCCACATTCCGCTTGCAGGACCTTCTCATGGTTCTCGTGATCCTCGTCAACATCGGCTCGATCGTCTGTATGGGCGTGACCATCGCCCGCGAGCCGCTCTCTCATCCGCACGACCGCCTGTCTCGCAACAGCCCGTATCAGCACGGGACGTACTACGGCTGGGCGATCGCGGCGGGGACCGCTGTCTTCATCTCTGCTGGACTGCCCATCTACTCGTGGTTTACGACGTTCCGACTGTCCAAGTCGTCGGTCTTCTGTCTTGCCACGTGTCTAGGTAAGAGGGCGACCCTTAGGCACGAAGAAACGACCAGGTCTTAGGCTTCAAAACAGACTAAGAAGAAAAAGAACTTGTGACCCACGACGTTCCGGCTGTCCAAGTCGTCCGTCTTCTTTCTCGCCACGTGTCTAGGTAAGAGGGCTGCTCTTGGCATGGAGAAACGACCAGACAAAGGTGTTCAGAAACAAATGGGAAGAAATAGGACTTGTGGTGCGTTTTGGATGTCCAACTTGTCGGTCTTCTCTCGTGTCACGTGTGGTAGGTAAGAGGGCCGCTTGTGACAAGGAGAAGCTGTTGGACTCGGGGTTAAAAGTAGGAAGAGGAAAACCAACTCATGATCTGTTACGTTCCGGCTGCTCAAGGTGTCGGTCTCCTGTCTCACCACGTGTTGGTAAAAGTAACAGTCGTTTTGTGAGATTGGCAAGGACGTTAATTATAGACTGGGGGTTCGTGAATCAGACGAGAAGCCTGTGAAGAGAAAGGCCGCTTCAAAGAAGAAAAGCCCACGACGTTTCGGGTTTCCAGTCGTTGGGCTTCTGCCTCGCCACTTGGAAAGGGAGTCGTTCAAAACTTCACTCTCTGGCCAGAAGTACTCTATAAATAGAAGGCTACAAATCCTTTCAAACGATGTAGCATTTGAGGGCGTGCCATCTTGCTCCTTCTCATGTGTGGGACAAAGCAGCACCGCGTATATCCTCAACCCCGATGCTCAAAGTTCACAACCATCTAACTGGATCCGACCTCGTCTTTTCCTTCTCTTGCCAGCTCTCCTCCTCGCCTTCGGCGTCGGCTCCCACCTTGCGGTGAACAACCACCGCGCCAAGACGATCTTCCCCTTGATGTATGTCTTCATTTTTCTCCCCAAGTTCTGGTGTCAATAGTACTTACCCGGATCTTAATCCTTTTTCTATCCTCGCCAGCTGTCCTCCTGGCGTTCAGCGTCGGCTCCCACCTCGCGGTGCGCAACCACCGCGCCGAGCCCGGCGTGCACGAGGATGACGTCGTCATTGCGATCCTTCCCGTCACGTGCATCCCGGCGGTCCTGTGCCTGGGCGTCGGGCTCTTCAAGTGGCGGGACGATTCGTGGCGGCTCTCGAAAGTGGTCATATACCTTGTCGCGTCCGGGGTGCTTCTGCTCCTCGCGTCGGCGATCGCCATCATCGTGACGATCAAGCTGTGGCTGGTGAGGAAGTTGGGGACTTTAGAATTGGGATTTTAGGGTTTCAAGGTCGCAGTTCTGTCGGCTTAGGTTTGTAATCTGGCTTTTTGGAATGTTCGTTGAGTCGTTTGTGAGCCACTGAGGTCTGGATCCGTACTGCACAGACTGTTTCTTCACTCGAATTTTCAATTTCGCCACTGATGCACTCGTGCACTGCTCATTGTAGCTACCCTGTTTTTCCAGATCGGCGTTACGATGCTGCTGTTCTTAATGCTCGTTGTGACTGGGATCACGATGGCAACACAATCTCTTCGTTTGTTCTCCGTTACTCGAACCTTAAATTTTCAAGCAACACTGCTATCCTCTCATGTGCTGAATACTAAAGCTGTCTTTGTCTTTAGATTGGCGTTGTGATGCTGCTGTTCCTGATGCTCGTGGTGATTGTCGTAACGATGGCATACCAATGGTTGGGTAATAAGCTTGATTTCCTCCTTTCTTCGTGATTCAAACCTCGATGGAGAAACCTGAACGTCACGTCATCAACACAAGCACTGGTGCTCTTGTGTACTAACCATTGTAACTTTCCCTCCCGCCAGATCGGCGTTGCGATGCTGCTGTTCTTGATGCTCGTGGTGATTGCCATCACGATGGCGTACCGTTGGGTGGGCAACAAGTTCCGGTTGGGCCGGTGGGAGCTGTGCTCCGGCATCGCGGCCGCTCTCGTACTGGCGACACTTTCGTTCGGGGTCGGCTGGAAGTCAAGTAAGTTCCCGAACCTGCGCTTGAATTTTCAGTCATTCGCTGCGTGGTTCGGGATCGGTTGGAAGTCGAGTAAGATTCCTGTAAAGGCGCTCGCCCTGTGATGTGCCTTAAAGACGCGTTCGTTGGGGGTCGGCTGAAAGTCAAGCAAGTTTCCGAACCTGTGCTCGATCTAGCTTCATTGCGGGACTTGCGGTTGGGGTCGGCTGGAGGTCGAATGAGTTTCCTGTAACGGCGCTCGCTCCGTAAAGTCCTCTTTGCGACGCTTTCGTTGGGTCCGGCTGATGAGAGACAAGATTTTGAAATGCTGAACAAACTTGTCATTACAACTACTCAATCGGTTTGGAATCGATTGGGAGTCGAGTGAGTATCTGAGTGCGCCCGCTTTAGATCGTTTTTTGATAACCTACATGAAACCAGCTCTTTGCACAGCTTTTATATCCTCCTCGTTTTCTCGTGCAGAGTACCCCCTGGTCGGCGCCTCGGTCGGCTACTTCTCCCTCCTCATCCTCTTCGCCGGCTGGGCCCTTTCCCGCCTCCTTGCTCCCTCCGCCATCGTCTACTCGCCCCGAGTGCTCCCCATATTCACATTCGACCCCGAACTAGACACGGCGGGAGATCGGAGCATGGCGTTCTTGGTTTTGTACCTCGTCGCGATCAGCACCGCGACGTGGGGGGTCCTCGCGAGTGTGTGGATCACCCCCCCGTACGCGGGATCGGCGGTCTGCTCGCTGACGCTGGTGATTGCGTACGCGTTTGCGGCGTCGAGGCCCCGAATCACAGTCAAGGTGAGCGTCGATTGGGTCTCTCCGTCGGCAGGTGGTTCGTGTTGTTAGAGTTTGCAGACTTCGTGAGAAATGTCGAGAGACGAAGACTGCAACTGAGCAGTCTGCAAACTAACGTCCGTGCTGCCGTTTCAAGTGGTATAATGTAGGTAGCAATGACCTGGAGACCCTCTGATCGTGTTATCTAGATGTCCGCAATCTTCCTGGAACGAAGTGGACAGATTCGTCTCAGCACCAACATCTGTGTGAGCTGTAAATAGAGAACTCTAAGAGGCCTCTCTTGTGATAAGAGAAGAGAAGCGAAGCATCGCAAAGAGGGCTGAAAGACCAGTACCCCCTGACCTGCAGCGCGGTGAAGCGGATGGAAGCCTGATAAGTCTCGCTGCAAAAGATGGAGGGTGCCTCAATCAACCCAACTCAAAAGAAAAAGACGTCGTATTTCTGCTGATTTCCTCTCTAGTCGACTCTAAAAACCCTGGAATTGGGAAATTCCTCGATATATTAGACACCGTGAACCTCTGACACCTACATTACGAGCTGTTTTTCTGGATTTCCTTATTGCTATTGGGCGATCGTTTGCAGATGATGGAGACTGCCCTCATGTACCTTAGCGAAGAAGACATCAAGCTCGCGATCACCAAGGCCACCGAGAAGATCCAGAAGACAGGCGCCAGCCGGGGCGCGCAGAGGGATCCCCTTCCGGAGGGCGATATCAAGTGGCTGAGAAAGCAGCTGCGGAAGCAAGAACTAGCGGCGGGGCCGTGGCTGCGGCGGTCGTTCCGGCTCGGGCGGTCCGCCGGAGGGGGTCCCCTTTCGCGGCGCGGGTCTGGGATCGACAAGGCGGAGGTGGATCTGAGCTTAGAACATCACAGGTGCGTTCAAGGCGGCTGTTTTTTAAGTGTATGAGCTCCTATTAGTATGGGGCGTTGGGATCTCAAACCTGAGAGCTTATGGCTTGGTGATTGGGGTCAGACAACATGGTGGCCAAGTTCAGTTGTAAGTTTCGCGGGCAAGATTGAGGGCCAAACACCAATCTTTCAGGGTATGTGGGAGTGGGGTTAGCTTCGAGAATCTGTGCTTACCGTTTCGCATGGGGTCTGGATTGACAGATTTGCAGACGCTTCGAGCTTGGAAGTTGATTAATGACGGTTAGTACTCGGTGCGAGCGGGAACCCAACTCTGCTCTTCTACAGCCGGCATCTGACGCAGGCTGACCTCCTCTCGCCAGCTGAACGACTCCTATGACGTCACTGTTTCTAAATATGAAACAGGGTCGGGCCACCCAACACCTTTTCGCCGAAACATATGTCGTTTTTAAACCGACTTCTCAAGGACCCACGCAAGCCACTCCCCCCGTGCAGGCTGACTGACGGCGATGACATCACCCTCCCCCGCTCGACGCGCATGCACGCGCACAAGGAGATCCTGCGCCTCGAGCGAGCAATTGATGACGAGTGGCTCACAATGTGGGGGTCCTTCGGGGGGTACCTTCTGCTCACGATCGGACTGTTTGCGGAGCGCGAGAAGAAGCAAGACGACGTGCGATTGCGGCTGTTTCAGGACCATCTGCGCGACCAGCACAAGTGCGACTTCTCGCTGGAGCAGATGCGCAAGTGGTCGCGGGGCGGGCGGGAGAGGGCCAAGCTGCTGGAACTCGAGCGAGAGTGAGTGGGCGCGTACCTTTTCTGATCTTTTCCGAGTTTCTCTTAAGTGCGACCTTTATGCTTTTCTTTGGGTCTTTCTAAGTGCAACCCTAATGCTCTGATCGAGACTGTGGATCTCAGTTATCCTTTTTCATTTCTTGCATCCGACGATTAGAGAAATAGGATGGGGCGAAGAGGGCCAAGCTGCTATAGCGGGAGCGAGAGTGAGTTTGCTGCGGGTGATTAACAGGGTTTGGTTCTAGCAAACACGGTAATTCGTTGTGGTTTGATTTCTTGCTTCTGCCTGCTTGCTCAAACGCAATTGAAGTCTCCTGCGGTTGCTTATTTGACTTCTGCCGTTAGTCGTTTTTGCTGTTCCGTTTTGGATCCGTGCATCCAGAAGTTCCTCTCTTCTTGTGTTGAGGTTCCTTTGAAGACATGTAATTCTGGAATTAGCGGAGAGAGCCAAGCTGATGGAGTTATGAGCGAGAGTGAGTGAGGCACGAGTTTGTCTGCTGAGACTTGTGCCGGCAGTTTTGTTACTTCGTGAGGGTCTACGATTCCAAGAGTTCCTTGCTTTTTAATGTTGCGAAGCTGAATGGGAAAGCAGCTTGAAGGAATGTGAGCGGAGCAGTTGTCTCCTCCAATTCCTCCAAATCAGATTTTGCAAAGCTGCCAGGTCTAGCATCGAGCCCCCATTTCAAACCGTACTTTTCAGCTGCCATGAGAACAACGCAGAACGCTTTGACCGAGAGGGTGCCTTCTGATGGCTTGAAGCAAGACGCCACTCATCGCACCTGTACTTGTGCTGACTTCAAAGCCCGACACAGCACCCAGAATCATTGTTCGGAAGCTGAGTGCGGAATCCCTTGCTCCTCGCCGTGCAGATTCTTCGATTGGCAGCAGCGCAAGGAGGAGCGCATCGCGCGGAAACGGGAGGAGGAGGCGCGTGGCAAGCAGAAGCGGCACGAGAAGCGCCGCGAGATGTCGGCGGAGGCCGAGACCCGGAGGCTCGAGCGCGCCCGGATGGTGAGCATTCACAGTTTTTGAATCATTCTTTTTGAATGTACTCAAGTCCAGATATGAGTCATTAAAAGAGTGACTTCCAAAAAAAAGAAGGAAAAAAAATAGGAAAATCAAATTAGTGATTTCCAAGCTGTTTTGAAGATCCTATCAAGCCTCTGGTGATTCACCTCAATCTCCTGCTTTCTCAAGGCCGGCATAGGGTAGCTCCAAAGGGCTGGTTGGCTTGGCTGGTGAGCCAATAAGAAGAATTCGGAAACCTTGGCCTCCGCCTGAAGTCGCCCAGTCCGCGATTGCATTGCTTCTCAATCCACAACGTACTGAAGAATCCGGAGACCATCTTAACGCGGTGTAAGGCATGAAAATTTGAAGGCAAGCAGGGGGGACCTTTTTGAAAGTCCTGCCCGGTTGCTATCCGGTCTCAAACATTGTTGCTGTCCCTTCTGCGCCGCCAGCCAATTCAACGCCTTCTGGACCTTACCCTAGACGTTCTTGATTTATTAGTAAACAGTCTTTAAAAACGTACCTTTTCTTGTCTGCTTTTCAAAGCCCACCGATCGGATCACAGCCATATCTCGTCGACTTTCAAGGAGATCTCCTCAGATGAGGTGTTCGCCTTCAGGCAAGGCGCAAGATCGCACACAGTACACACAACAAACACAACACACAAACATAACATAAGCAGACATACTAATCACACGTACCACTTGAACCTAACCTCCCTTTCCGCTCCCCCAGACGAAAGTCCCCGGGTGCGTGTGCATTGAGCACTCAGAGCCCGCCTTTGGGGGGCGCTACGCGGGCGACATTCCACCCCCCATCGCGGATCTCGTCACCGTAAGCTTGTCCGCGGCGGTCCGCATCACGTCTCTGGCGCCCGACGAGCGCGCAGTTGTTCTCGGGACGTCCGGTCAGCGGCGGGGGGTGGGCCACTGTTTGGAGTTGATACTGGTCGGGAGGGGGGGGCGCGGGGGGGCACGTGCGATGCTCGGGCTAAGAGTTGTGTCGGAGCGACGGGACGGGAAGGACGTTCCCCCTCAGGTGTGAACCCCGCTTTTTCTTTGGGTGGGGGGTGGCGGTGGGACTGGTTCGAATCCCATCACAGCGATTTTGGCTGATGTGTCGTGTGTTTCTCTGAGAGCAAAGAGGCGTCACTGGGTTTTTCTGTTCTTTTCTTGTTCCTCCTCTCTGCAGTCTTGGGTTGACGGTATCTTTTATTGAGGGTGGGTCGGATGGAGCGAGGAGCTGGGTTTTGATTGCGACTCCGTGTGCTTTTTATCTCCCGTTTTGAAAGATGGCAATTGAATTCTTGGGATGAGGCTAACCTTGAACACGAGCAATCCTTCTTGTTGACTCGCACTTGCATATGCACTGCAAAGCCTTGAAAAGATCAAGCTAATTCGTTTGCAAGGAGTTGTCTTCAAGAACCGATCAAAAAAATGCGGCATAGCATTGCTTGGATACAACCCGACCGGCTGTTTTATTTTACAACCCCATTCTCGAGGTCCTCGAACTCTCAACTTGCTTATCGCAGGAATTTTTCTTGCCTTGCTTTCCCAAAGCGTCGCTTCTCTCTAAAGGAATCCATCTTTGCCTGTCTTTCTCAAAGCCCCGCTGCTTTTTGCAGGAAATTCATCTCCGTACTTCCTTTCCCAAAGCGTCGGTTATCTCTACGGGAGTTCATCTGTGTCTGTCTTTCTCAAAACCCCGCTGCTTTTCGAAGGTGCCGCTACTCTCTGCAGGATTCATCTTCGTCTTTCTTTTCAAAAGCCCCGCTGCTTTTCGCAGGAATTCATCTTCGAAGGCGACGGCGCGGTCGGTATTGAGGACACAAATTGGCACTGCGTCGCGCTCGTGCTCGACGCCGTCGCGGGTTCGGCGTCCGTGTACGTCGACGGCGAAGAAGACACGTGGCGCCGGGGAATATTCTTTCCGGACGGGCCTAGCGGGGTGTGGAAGACAACGGACGAGATATGGATCGGGCAAGCGTGCCCGCTCGGTGAGGCGTTTAAATTTTGTCCAGAGGTGGCCGAATTGGGTTTTTTGGTGTCCAAATCCGATCGTCAGGTGTCCGAACCCGTTTTTTTAGCGTCCGAATGTGATTGTTGGGTGTCCGAACTTGTTGTGAAGCGTCTGAATGTGATTGTTGGGTGTCCGAACTTGTTGTGAAGCGTCCGGATATGATTGTCAGGTGTTCAAACAAAGGTGTTCTTGTGATCGTCAAGTCTAGTGTCACGTGTCCATGTGTGTGTCTGAGGCGTCCGATTTTGAGTATCAAGAAATGATCTTTTGTCTTTGGCGCCTTAACCTGTTGGTTGTTTTGCGAAGAGCTATGTTGAGGCGTCCGTTTCCATCAGATGGGTTCCAAAACTGCATCTCTCACGCCTGGGTTTTCCTTGATTGGAGAGAACACATGGGGCAACGGGTGCAGATAATGGTGTCACCCTGGTGAAACATTGAACTTTCAGAGCTTCTGAGTTTATCTTGTCGATTCCTTTTTGAGACCTCCACGTCGATCATCAAGCGTCTGCGTCAGTGGTCGTGCTTCGGTTCGTCTTTGCAAAATACGGCAAACCTGTCCAGAACAGCATGAAAAAAGAGAGTCAGACTTCGAATGCACTGTTAAAGGCGGCCTCTCTTTTGAACTTGAATGTGATCTGGTAACCCTGAACCCAAAGTCGTCGGCGAAGGGGAATCATGCCGTGCGGAGTAGGCTGTTAACTGAGGAGGCACCGCATGGATCCCTCCTCAATTATTAGCCTACTTCGCACCACACGATTCCCTTCATCAAGAACTGTGCCCGCTTTATATGCAGCCCGGACCTCCCGCTCTGATCTGGAAATCGTGGGCGTTTCTTTTGTGAGGTATATGACCTTCAAATCACGATCTTAGCTATACCGAGCCCGCTTGATTCAAAGCCCCCCGAAATCACAAACCTAAGACCCTCAAACGTGAATTCTTGCAGATGCTAACCAGTACCACTGGACCCCTCGAGCCAACTCAGAGATCACGGACGTTCATTCTGGTCATGAATGGCTTCCAAAGAACCATTGTTTGAACTCAACTCGGTCGTGTTCAAAAATCACAAACCTGAACCCCTCAATTTGTACCTCTCAGATGCGAACCAGTACCACTGGACCCCCAGCGCCAACTTAGAGATCATGCACGTTCATTCTGGTCATGAATGGTTTCCAAAGAACCATTGTTCGAACTCAAGCCGGTCGTGTTGAAAATTCACAAACCAGAACCCTTCAATTTGTAACTCCCAGATGCGAACCAGTACCACTGGACCCTCCGTGCCAACTTAGAGATCATAGACGTTTTCTCTTGTGAGGTTCAAACCACGATCTTAGCTAAAGCGAGCCCGCTCCCTTCAAAATCCTCAAAAACACAAGACTCCAAGACGCTAAAACGTGAATGCTTGCAGATGCGAACCAGTACCACTGGACCCCCCGCGCCAACTTAGAGATCATGGACGTCTTCTTATTCGACCACGCACTCAACGTGCGCGAAGCCTGGTTCGTACACAAGAGCACGGTCGTCGACGGATACCAGGTCGTCGACGGCCCGCCGGATGACGACATCGGCGAGGGTGACGACAGCATGACGCAGCCAGCGCCCCCGGTGGTGCCCATGCATGAGGCGATGCTGGATGCGAGGGGAGGCAGCTCTGGGTGGGTGCAACTTCGAGGGATCGTCTTTCATCCTGAACAGCTTTTTGTGGGAGGAGGAGATGCAAGTGAAATTGAGGATCCTAAGGCTTGAAACTTTGACCGCCAGATATCATGTTCCCCAGCCTTGCGGCATTGCTCTGTGCGTCTCTCTGTTCCCTCAACTACGTGTCTACTTTCTCGTCGTGTGAGGCCATGCTGACGTCGTCCCCGCAGGATCCGCAACATGGGTCGCCGGTCTACACAGACGAATCGACGCTTCTATTTCCTCTTTCTCTGTTTTCTCCTTTCCTTTCCGACCTCGCTTGCCCCGACACAGCCTCTGCTGACGTCATACGAACGTCATACTCTCGCAGGATCCACAGCATGGCCCAAGCAGTAGAAAGACAGCACAGCGCATTCGTCTTCACTGATCGTCTTTCCACCTTTTCCCCTTCTTTCTTTTTTGGCCACTCCCGCACAGCTGCGCTGACGTCATGCGACGGGCACAACGGGCTCGGACGTCTGCTCCCTTCCTCTCCTGCACTTCCTTTGCTGACGTCATGTGGACATCATCCGCTTGCAGGATCTACGGCATGGGCCCGCGCAGCATAAGCGACGGGCACGGCACCGCGACGCCGTCGCGCTACAGCCAGTCGGGGCCGCTGCGGCGGGGGGACTACTCGCGGGGGGACAGCGACGCGCGGCCGCTCAAGCGGCGAAAACCGTGGACCAGCATGGATGGGGACTTTGTGCGGAGGAAACTGCCCACGGTGAGCTTTCGGAAACGCCCTCTTGTTTTGCTGCTTTCGTACCCGTATCGAATAACGGTGAGCTTGAGAAGCGTCCTCTGATTTGCTGCCTTCATGTGCTTGTCTGGTTTGCTTAGTCACTTCTGAAGTACCATTTTTCAATCGGATGTTGCTTGCCTGCCTTCGACCAGCTTAAACGAGACAATTATGCGAGACACCTCCCTCTATCGTGCTTCGTCTTTCGTGCTGTAAAGTTTGATATCTCGTTTCGGACCAGCGAATTTTTTGCTGCCGCTTTTGATGACCGTGGACGAGAATGTTGTGCGAGGAAAGCTGCCCACAAGAAGTTGACTTGTCCATTCATGCCGCTCCGGTTCTACTCGGTTTGGAACTAGATCGGCCCACTTTCGTAGCAAGTTTTCTGTCCCGTCTCGCACAAAACTTTGTGCGATCATGGCGGCCCACCAGTGGTGGTCGCTTTCTCTTCTCTGCGCATGCCTCCTTTCCCTTGCCTCGGTTACGAAGATCCAGCAATGGGAATCTTGGTGTGAGCCGCTTGTGATGGCCATCAATTGCAGTCCTCTTCCACGCAATAAACGGTGTGTTTCAAACCTTCATTAAATGCACATCCAGTGTGATCGTGACCGTGCTCAGTACTAGCACCCGCCTATGACCAATCGTCAACGTTTCTTCCGTCCAAGACCCTGGATCTGTGGCTTTTAAGGGTGGTTTTACCTTCCGGAACCGGCATCCGAGTTGGGTCTCAAAACGGCGTGGCTTGTCTCAGGTCGGGTGCGTATAGCCTATTGTGTCAGTCCTCCTTTGCTTCCGCAGTTCGAGGAGTTGGTTGCTGACATGAATCGTCGACGCTTCTTCCGACCGAGAACAAGACTATGGCATCCGAAGATGAAGATTTCCTTCCGAAACCGGTATCGAAGTATCCGGAATCTGCTCATCCTGAGCCTAACGTGTCGGTCGTTGGCTCCTATTCGCAGTTCGAAGAGGAATCGGTCACAGACATCAACGCCAAGATGCGCGCATACGAGAACAACATTCGGAACGACCTCAAGCGCATCAGCCCGAACCAGTGCTATCACGACTTCGAATTCCCCAGCAGCCCTCGTTCCATCTTCATCGATCCCAACCAGCCGAACCCGCGTCTAGCAAAGCAGGTACGTCCGAAAGAAAACTTTAAGATTGGTCCGTCGCCCGGGTTTTGATGAGCTTATCCGCACTGTCTGCTTTCTGTCAGATTTTATGCTTTTGAAATGCTCCTCAATGACCTTGATTCCATTTTCATCGATGCCAACCAGCCCAGTACGTGCGAGCCCAGCAGGTAGATTTAACTTCTCATGGTCTGTCCAGCGTTTCGCTTCTGTGATGTGTCGTTTTCCACTGTCTGCTTGGCGCCCGTCTTCATACTGATTGGACGCTCTTGAATCGTCCCTTCTTCATCAATCCCAACCAGGCTCGGCTCGGTAAACGTTCTAGTTGTTTTCAGCGGTTTGGTTTTGGTCCGGACTGTGTGACGTGCTTCTTTCCACCCTTTGCTTTGCTTCATCTGCACTTTTTGGTTGTTCTTTCCCAACCCTTTCTACTCCGTAAGAAGGCTCTTAGCGTGTTCTGGTCTTGGACAAGTTTCATCCATCCGGTTCTTCTTTTCTGGCCACCCCTTCCTTTTCCTATGAGAAAGGCCCTTGGCGTTTCTTGTTTGGATAACCGTCAATTAAACCTCCGAGCCGCTTCCGCAGCTTGCCAAGCAGGGCCTGTCACAGTAGATCCCTCAAATTGAAGTCCTCGAATACCCGGATCTGACTCCATTGAAGACAACGAGCACTTCTTTCTTTCTGTTTCTGTTTCTGTCTCGGTTGGCACGGGGGCAAAGTCCTGCAAACCTGTGTTAACACCGACCAAACTGCGCAATTCGTTCTTTACCAGGTGGCGAAGACGTGGAAGCGCTCTAAAACGCTGGCACGCTGGGCCTGAAAATCTCTGTCAACACTGACCAACGTGCACATTTTGGATTTTTGCCAGGTGGCGGAGAAATGGAAGCGCCCAGAGGAGCTTTCGGAGCGGTGGCACGGTGGCCGCGCGCCGTGCCTCTTCCGGGGGATTCCCCGCCCCGAGGACGTGCGGCAGGGGCTGCTCGGCGACTGCTGGTTCCTGTCGGCAGTCTCGGTGCTCGCCGAGCAACGGGACATTCGGGAGGTGCTCATCACCGAGCAGTACAACCGAGAGGTAGGTATTTTCTGGCTGAACCAAAGGATTCCTCGAGCAAAGACCATCTTTGGTCGTGGAAGTTGTCGACAGTAATTGGGTCTGTCTCGTAATTGCTGGTTCGTAGTTTCTGGTTCCTGTCGGCCGTCTCGGTGCTCGCCAAACAGCGGGACATTCGGGAGGTGCTCATTACCGAGCAATACAACCGAGCGGTAGGAGTAATCTGATGGAATCCAGGACTCTGCTCAAGAAAGTACATCCTGTTGAACAAGTTTTGGAGAGTGTAAAAATTGGTTGGTTTTTTTCTCCTGAAACGGCTGATTCCTGTCGGCCGTCTCGGGCTCGCCGAGCAACGGGACATCCGGGAAGTGCTAATTACCGAGCAATACAACCGAGAGGTGTGGTTTATTTTCATAGGCACAAGATTTAACAGCCTTGCTGAAACCGCGGAAACCTGTTGGGTTTGTTTCATTTTGGTTCCTGGCAGTGGTCTCAGTTTCAACGAACAGCGGGACTTTGGAAGGTTCTACTCGTCGAGCAGAAGAGGTTGATGCTCCTCCTTTCTCAGTTGGTTAACGTGTTCAGCGTTCTGTTGTTGCTTGCTTGTGGAGGCCGAAGTCGACATGCTAGTCCTGCAAGACTGCCTGCAAAGATTCGCGAAAGAAAGGCTCTCTTCAAAACCAAACCTACCCCGTTAGCAATGAAACCCGTGCTTCTGACAGGCTCAACGGTTTGTGGTTGGACGATTCTGCTTCTATTAGAAGCACCTTTCTGGTAGCTCCTTTTCGAGCATGAGTCTGATTCAAGGAGCTTTGAAACGGTGCAGACCAATTGTAAGCTTGTAGGAGCCCTACTCATACGAGACCGTCCAATTCTGGTCTTCTGGACACGTTCGTATCTGTACGCCCCTGACATTCTCACCTTATCCGAAAAGCTAGCGAAAAGTCCATACCCATTTCAACACCGTTCTGTGAGATGTTCTCAGAACATGTGCACCTTCATCCAGAAGCCCCTTACTTCCTGCAGGGCATCTACACCGTCCGATTCAACATCGAGGGCGCCTGGAAGCCCGTCGTCGTGGACGATTATTTGCCGTGCAAGAAGAAGAACGGCGGCGGCGAGCCCGCGTTCGCGACGAGCAACAAGCCGGGGGAGCTATGGGTGTCGATACTGGAGAAAGCGTATGCGAAGCTGCACGGGTGTTACGAAGCGCTCGAGGGGGGCGTGGTTCAGGTGAGCATTCCGGGGGGTGAAAAGAGGTTAAGATGCGTGCGAGATCCACCGGTTTCGGAGAGGACGTTGCTTGATCAAATTTGCAAGACAAGGATGATGGGGTCATTGACTCGATCAGCAGGTCATTCAGATGGTATCAAAGTCGGCAGGCGCTTCTCGGTTCCGAAAGCCTGAGCATGTGCAGGGGTTGGCGCATGCTATTCAACACTACAACACCTTCCGTGAACGGGCAAGGTTTGAAGTACCCTTACAACGTCTTCAGAAAAACAGATTCTTCTCACTAGTTCATTGCCTGACGTTCCCTATCTAAAGGCGTGAATTCGCAGGACGCTCTGGTCGATCTGACGGGTGGCGCAGGGAAGGAGATCGACATGGCGAGTCCCTCGTCCAAGATCGACCTTTCCTTGCGTGCCAGTCTAGCACCAATTTTAGAAAGCCCTTTTAACGGCCTAGTTTCAGTCACTCATTCGTTTCCGATGCAAATAATCTGCAGGATGCGCTTGTGGATCTAACCGGCGGCGCGGGCGAGGAGATCGACATGGCAAGTCCGCCGTCCAAGATCGACCTTTCTTTTCGCTCACTCACTTAGCACCAGCGCGGAAAAGCGTCACCGGAATGTTTGAAGCCTTAAAGTGCTTCCAGTTCCTTAAAGCTTCCAGTCCCTCGAACGATTTCCGCAATTAAACAATCTGCAGGATGCGCTTGTGGATTTAACGGGCGGCGCGGGCGAGGAGATCGACATGGCGAGTCCGTCGTCCAAGATTGATCTGGCGAGCGGCAAGCTGTGGCGGCAGCTGGTGCGCTTCAAGGAGGCCAACTTCCTGCTGGGGGCGGGCAGCCCCTCCGGCTCCGAGGGGCTCCCGGAAGAATCGGTCTCCGTCGCGGGCATCGTGCAGGGGCACGCATACTCGATTCTAAGAGTGAGTCCTTAGCATTGCGCTTTTGGTTCTCTTGTGTTTCTGTGGCTTTGCGTAAGCTGTTGGGAAAATAGAGTGACAACACCCGCCCCTCCGGCTCTGCGGGGCTCCCCGAAGAATTAGTCTCCGTCGCAGGTATCATGCGGGGGTATGCATACTTGATTCTAATGTGAGTAACAGCTTTAATCTGTCGGTTTCGCTTTCTCCTTTTACGGGTGTTTCCGTGAAAGCATTTGTCAGAAGCTTGGGGTGACGCCTTTTCTTCTCGATCAACATTCCTGAAAACAAGGCAGCCCCTCCAGCTCCGAGGGGCTCCCAGTAGATTCGGTCTCTGTCTAAGGTACGGGCATTGTGCAGGGGCACGCATTCTCAATTCTCTAGCGAGTCTTAGCTTCGCCCTACGGCCACCAGTTGCCACAGATCCGGACCCCGTGGCGAGCGGGTGCAAGTGGAACGAACCCGTTGCTTACGCACATCTGTTTTAGAGAAGAATCACAGACTTTTTCATGACAAATACCTGACTTGGTAACAAACACATACCTGATTTGGTAACGGTTTTTGACGCAGGTTGTCGACGGGAGCGACGCGGACGGCCACAAGTTGTTGCAGATCCGGAACCCGTGGGCCCGCGGGCGCGAGTGGAACGGGCCTTGGTCGGACACGTCCAAGGAGTGGACGGAACGGATGAAGCACAAGCTCAACTACGACCCGAAAGTGAGGGTCTAATTCGTCCTTTCTTTCCCCAAACGGACGGGTGCACAGACCGGATTCAGTCCATGCCGGATCAAGAGGCGAAGGGGACGGCCTTTGTTTGTTCCTGCGTCCGTTTGACCCTTTTCGTGCAGACGTCCTTTTTCTGTGTACCGTTCGTTTGGTGTGTATACGGACTACCTGTCTTTTGCTGCACAGCTGAGCTTGCATTTTGTTTCAAGCTTCATCTAAGCCCGAGTGTAATCAATCAGGATTTGTTATACTGTTTTCTGTCAGCCTTTAAGCGACTCCGCATGTTTTTTCCTGCCAGAAAGTAGGATGCATCTCCGCAGCTACTGGTCGGAAGCCACGTGTTGGCAGCTACTAGTTGGTTTCGAAAGTTTGGGCTACAGAAAGTGCTGAAGCCCCAAAACATTCAAGGGTAAAAAGCCTTCCTATTCCCCAGAAACACCTTGTGTAATATGAAATTGAGGTCTTTTGAACTGCACCGAGAGGGCCTGAGTCTCTCGAGCTCTTCACCGCAAGTCTCCAAATGTACTCAGTCTAGAACTTATCGCCCGGTTGTTTGTACTCATTTTGTTTCTCTGTCTGATGCAGCCGGAGGACGGCATCTTTTGGATGGCGTGGGCCGATTTCCAGGAGCACTTCCACTCCATCTACGTGTGCCGCATTTATGACCCCAAGATGCGCCACATCGTAAAGGGCGAGTGGAAAGGCCGCACCGCGGGGGGGTGCTCCAACTTCCCCAACTGGCACCACAACCCGCAGTACCTGTTGAAAACGGATGACCCCGGCCCGATGCACGTGTTCATGACGCTGACGCAAGGCCCGCACAAGCAGAACCCGCGGAGCGAGGCGTATAGCGAATACACGACGAGCGCGGATCGGGACCACTACTTTATCGGGATGCGCGTGCTGAAGAAAGGGGGCATGCCCGCGAGCAAAGACTTGTACGCGTTCGAGACCGTCGGGGGCAGCGACTATGTAAATACGCGGGAGGTCGCCTGCGAGATGGTGTTGGAGCACTACGCGCCAGGCTATACGGTCGTCCCGACGACGTATCGGGCGGGCGAGGAGTGCACGTTCACGTTGTCGGTCTTTACGAAACACAATATCAGGTTAACCCCCCTCCAGATGTAGTATACCGTTTTGTTAGGGTAAGGCTAGAAAGTATGGATCACTAAGCCCGCACCAAATCGAGCAGATAGTATTCGGGCAAGAATCTCAAAAGGCAGCCAAGCCGTTGGCGGTACCATCAACCGTCCAAGAACGAGCTTTATTGGATTCGAACCACTGTAGGACAAGTTTGCCCGGGCCCACCTATTATATGGTCCACATGGCTGCCCGCCTAGTTGGACATTGGATTCCGCGCCGCATGCCAACGCTTACGCACAGAACTTCAGACGATGTGGGTGGAACGTTGATGCATGTTGCATTCTGGAATCTGCCACCCGGCAGCCTAAGTTGCTGGTTGAAAGGTCCGAATGCACCGTGCATTCGGGCAGGTCGGGCAGGTCCGGCAGGTCCGGCATTCGGGCAGGTCCCGTGGCACGTACGCAATTGACGACAATCGAAAGGGTCAATCAGCCCCCAGCTGAGCCCTGAGGGAGCTAGCTTGTTAGTAAGCTTCCGACAAGATATGGCCGGAACTAAGAGAGTACCCGGAACATGATATCAACGTCACTGGCCGGTTGTAGTAATTCATACAGTCAGACATATCGTTCAATGGACTTAATTTCAAGTTTTCAATTTTCATATGATCTCCGGATTAAAAATTTGACACTAAAACGTCGAAATTATGCATTATGGCAGGAGAGCTAGATCGAACAATGATGGTGCATGCCGCGCCTTGTTCGTCTTAAAATTCGACAATTCGAGCTATCATAGAGTCCGCGCTCGTGTGCTGCTTGTCGGATATATATATATGATACTATTTGCATGGGGCGGCTAGCTGCAGTTTAGTAAAAATAACTCCTCGGTGGCATGCATACTGTGCCGTATAATTCAAACGGAGGACCAGGTGTTCATATCTTAGCACGTACCTCAGTGGCCGGATCAGTGCAACTCGGCCGGCCGACTATACTGCAGTATACAAATGAACTTTCATGGGCCGCCCATTGAGTTACAAAGTGCACTCTTACGTGCAATACACTCTGTCATGAATGATTCAATATGGCCACGGGCCAGGCCTCGACTGGGTGGAACTTAATCTGAGTACGGTACGATGAGCTATATAGCTAGGATCGACGTATCATGCAATCATTAACTCAGAGCCCAAGTTTGGCATGGGCCCGGGGCGGCCGCCTGCCTCTGGAATGCAGACGCCGCCTCCGGTATGCATGTAGGTTTGGCATGAATGACCGTCAGCCTGAGGGTCCGATCTGGCATGCACATGCATCACTTCAGCGTGATCGATCATGGTGACTCAACATTTGAACGTGTGCATCTTGTACCACTGAGATTGGTCATGCAATGCAAGTGTTAGTTCAACATGGAATAGATCAGTCCAGACGGTAGCTAATTCATGCATCTAGCTCAAATTTATTGTTGCTTAACAATGACAAAGAGAATCTGGGGTACACCGCCATCACCGTCTGTGCATATGTTGGGTTACCTTCACGTTGTGCATCGTAAAAACGGAGCTATGCAGGCACAAAATGTGACAGCAAGTGTAGGTAGATAACGCAGGAACACGTGCTGTGGAGAAGTCCTTTTTGGTGATGGAAGCAGAATGTTCCGTGACTTTTTGGTGCCAAATTGTTGGCCCCTCTTCCGATGTTCATTGAATCATCCCCTCGGCTAGAAAACTTTGGCAACTAAGCTATTGCCCTCACTTCTATGAAAATGATCACAAGGGAACTGCCTCAACTCCTAGAGGCTTGGTATGAATGTACGTGGATTGCTCGGTCAGATCAGCAGATGCTGAACTGTACGTCCCCTTGTTGTACTATTGTACAAAGAATCAGAATACCTATGGTACAGCAGATTCCCGATAGAAGCTACTGATAAATGACTCCCTCCATCAAGGCTGCCACGGAAGCCCCAATAAATAGCGCCCGTCTGAAGTACCGTTGTGAATGCGCGCCGCCAGAACGAAGTCCGGCAGAGGGAAGCGGCTTTCCAATGCATCCCCCACGGATGTCTCTAGGTGAACCGATGTGGTTCGGGCTTTCTTCAGTTTTGTAACCCAAGCTGGCCGAATGGAGGGCATGTGACCCTGCAAGCATGAAAGCCTTTGGTCAGGTGGTGTTGCTCAGTGCGAAATGTGGAGCTTTCAAAGACGGCTGTGTACCAATTACGAACAAGGGCTTCGAAGCTTCAACTGAGAATTCAAACCCCGAGGAGTTTAAAACGACAGTTCGAGAGCGTGGATGGAACCGCATGCATTTTCGGGAATGAAAGCTTGACGCTTTGTCAGCTACGACGCGTTAGAAAGCAGCACCGTAAAGTAGATGGAAGTGAAACCGGATGAGTGAAGCAGGAAGGGAGAGTAACTCACTGTCTGAAGGCAACCGTGATGATCCCAGCGTTCACTTTGCCGATGAGGTTCCAAGCAGGCTGTCCAATGTCAATGTGGGTGCCATGGCTAGGGTCGGAGTTGTAGCCACCAGCCGCCGGACAGAATCCTTTTAGGGTGCAATCGCCACGGTAATCATCACACTCCTGCATAGGGCCAAAAAACACGTTAGCTTTTTGAAAGATTTTTTCAAGGACGATCGGTTTTTGTAGGTCACCTGGTCGTCGGCCTTTTCAATTTCTCTTTGCCAAACCGGATGCTTTAACGAGAAGCAGCCACGATTCGCATATAGCAAAAGAGGCTTCGGCTTTTGCAACAAGGACATAGCCAAAAGAAGCGGCTTCGAGACCCATTTAGCACAGCTTGCACAAGTTTTGTAATCGCACTGAGCAAAACTTCGGAATAGAGCCCTCCGGGCTGGACGAAAGTACTTACGGGGCACCTGTCTGAGGCGTAGACGATGATCGACTTGTCCGTCTTGCAGGCGTTGCCGCCCTCCACTCCGCCGATGATGAATGGAAGTGTGCTCGGGGCGACGCACTTGACTTCGTAGCAGCTACCGCATCCAGCATTGCTGTAGTACAGGTGGTTCGGGAGGGCCACGACATAGTCGTTTGCTGGGACGATGGGCCCGTACCCGCAGTTCCCACCTAAAGCACAAATAAATCACATCAGCTGATGAAGATTGAAGGGAAAAAATCTCAAGCTGACTGAAAAGCAAGACTGAAGAGCGGATTTGTATAACAGGAGCGTTCTCGATTGTAGGTGAACAAGAAGAATTCCAAGCAGGCAAAGTCAACGTTGAGAGACGGGTATGAGCTTGCAGAGGACGTCATTTTCAAGTTAAGTGGTTTCCTTCTCGCTCCTTCTCGCCGGTGCTTTGAGCTCAGGCTGCAAATCCCACGACTTGACAGTCCTCAGGATGCATCTCGGTGTTGCACAGCTGAGGTTTCTACTCACCAGTGAAAGCTCCAGGGCCTCCAAAGAAAGTGGCGATTCCAGTGGTCCAGCCCCCTGGAGCACTTACGGCAGTGACGATCTGAGGCGGATTGGTTGGGGCTGGGGTCTGGGGAGGGTTGGTAGGTGAAGGATTCTGGGGGGGGTTGGTAGGTGAAGGATTTTGCGGGGGGTTGGTAGGTGAAGGATTCTGGGGAGGGTTGGTGGGTGCAGGATTCTGGGGGGGGTTGGTTGGGGCGGTAGTTTGTGCGATAGTGTCTGAGGCAGAAGAGCTCTTGGCTGCGGTAGTAGGGGCTGGGGTAACAGCGGGAGCTGAGGTAGGCTCAGGAGTCTTGGGGCCAAGACCAAGGTCTGGGATAAGTGATGCAGGGACCAGGGCGTCTCCTTCTAGGAACTTCCTGCAGGAGGAGTTGCCTAGCTGATGTCAGCAGCAGTGGTGGCTTGCTCAACTTGTGCCATTGGGGGTCGAACAAAAACAAATAGGAGATTCTCTGGGTATATTCACTAGCGGAAAAAGCTGTTGGGAACTACCAATATGATTATTGAGATGCATAGAGCAGTAACATCTTTCATTCTTCATGTGGATTCTTGCCTTTGTCTCATTAGTTCTTCTTACTCTTGACGGATAGCGTTGCATCGGATCAGACCTTACCTGCATTGGAAGTCAGCTCCGCCTGAGCAGTCCAAGTTCTGAGACGAGTCACAGCAGTAATACTGGGGCTGGTACGGTGTGGTATAACACTGTGTCATTGGAGCGGGGCATGCTTGTGACTGAAGCAGCTCTCGATTTGAAGACACTGCAGGAACAAAAAGAAGGTGAGCAAAATAAATCTCAGAAAGTTTGAACAGGGAATCGAGTCCGCCGCTGACACCAGTCTGTCATTCGCGTTAGAGCGGGTGAATCTTTAGCTTCTATCCTGCTTCGCAAGTACTGGACGGTGCGATTGCATCAGCAATGAGCCGGTCACTTGAACAACAGAATTGACTACGATGGCCGCCAGTCACTGCAAGAATGGCGGAAGCTGCCTGATGCCTGGCAATGGGAATCAGAAAAGGCCACCAAAGAAAAGGCCATGTTTCTCATACCTGATTCTAGGAGGAGAGGCCTGGCAGAACATGTTAGTGTCTGAATGCTGACAATGGTCAGCAGCATGGATCCGACCTTCATCCTGCAGATAACAGGAGCCAAACATAAGAATGCTTTTACTTTTCGAAAGAAAAGATCAGATTGACCATGTCACATTCCAGTTACGCCTACGCTTGGATTCCAAACCAACTGCTTGTGTACATGATTGGTGGCAGTGCACACATACAAGTAGGATTCTGTGGTTAGCGCTTCTTACCTGACTGATGGCGCCATGTATGAAAAAATAGTGGCGATGTATCTGTAAAGGAAATACATTTAAGGTTAGATGCCACAGCAGTCTCAACACCAGTGCTATCCTTGCATAAAGACAAAGTATTTGCCTGATAGAATTTATATCTAACTCTATCATAGTCAATGTAAGATGGTGACCCAGCACTTCCCGTTGACATGTCAGAATATGGACATACTGTACTTGCGTAGTGATCAAAGCGGATCAGAAGTTGTACCGACGCTCAATCAGATAAGTAATGAGATCTTAAAAAAGGTCACCATTAAGCTGTGCTTACTCGAATACCACATACATGTCCCTTATGTAGGTACATTTATCAACCAGAATCCTACATCAAGGTGCTCAGAAAGACAGGTGCAAGATTTGAGCAATGGAGTAGGTCCTTGAAAACATGAGAAACAAAAAATATATGTTAAGTCAAGCACACATTCTCTGGTACATTACTGCTCACAGATCCAGTGCGCCTGCATTCTCTGAATGTAGCACCACTTGAGCTTACCTCGAGTTTGATCTTCCTTTGCCACTTCTACAGGCCAAATAGAGCGCGAAAGATGAAGCTGCCTGACTTGCGCTTGACAGCGCTTTGTCAAGGGACTTAGAGAATGTCCAATGCAAGGAGCTGGTCTTCAGATCTTCTGCCTTGGACAATGCCAACTGAAGTGATTGGATCCCCGTGAAGTAAAAGTCGCCACTTTGTTTCCCTGGCCAAGAAATGCTGGAGCTTTATACTGCCACCACAGATCTAAGGGCTGCTCAGATGAAGGATGAGAACACTTGGCCGCTGGACTTCTACGTTCTGCAATACAAGTCGTCTCCTTGAAATGAAGCTCATTTTAGCAAGTTTCTTGAGGGATAGCGACATCCGTAAAGGGGATCTACCAGTAGGGTACCAGTTCACAAATTTGAGTCCTGACTTTGCCACGGTATGGCAAACACCCACATTCTTTCATCACAAAGCAGTCCTGACTACGGTAGTACCTACCTACTCAGTCCAGATTCCTGAGTGATCTGATCAATGTCATCAGACTCTGGAGTTGGAGTCGGACAAGTCACAACCGACACTGACACAGAATCTCGAGTTGCATTTGTCGGCCGCGGATTTTCGCGCGAAGTTTTGCGCCAATTCGGCAGCGTATAAGAGATTGGCAGCGAGCGGTGCCCGCCAGACGGAGCGATAAAAGCGGGATATGCAGAGTGTCGGTTGGCCGCTTTTCCATCGGATCAGGGAATAGCAGCCGGTTGGAGGGTGGCCCGATCGTGCACTTCAATCTGGCAACAGTCGGAACACCAAGGCCTCAAAATGCCCGAAGGCCGGCGCCCCGATGCCTTCGGAAACGACCTGGAATTGGCGATATAACATTAATAGAGTTCTTGGCGTATATGCAACTCCGGCAAGTTGCCGCAATATCTCCGACATGTCCGGATATGCGGCCAACAACTTGTAAATCACAGTTCCATCTTCAGGGTCAAGTTGTCACTTGCCCGATTCAATCTTGTCGTTTTCGAAGAGGTCATCATTGGCTATAAATAAGTTTCGCGGATAAAGGGGAAAGCTCGTTAACATCGACGATGCAGAAAGGCCCTTGGTTTGCTGAGAGCCTTTCTTGACCGTCGATGAAGGAATATTAGCCGGCGTTTACCATAACCTATCATCTATGGGCCCTGGGGCTCTGCACACGTGATGAAAAAGTTAATGCAGTCACATGATTTCATTTGGACCAAACGAGGCACGTGCAGATAACCCTGACCATCGGACGACTTGCATTGGATGCACAATACGATGCAGTCGCGAAATCGCAGCCTTCGATCAGGCCGAATGTATGACCGGGGATCCAAGAAACGACTCTGGCAACTCTTGCTTTCACTATTATAGGGGTGCTTTCACTAAGACAGGCACCCGGGGGACGGGTGGGGTTGGTTTGGGGGTTAGGGTGGGTATGGTTGCGGGTCGTTATTTAGGTTAGGGTTTTTAGTTGAGGTGCCCGGGGCTCCTGTATCTTAGTGAAAGCACCACTTAGTGAAAGCAAGAGTTGCCAGTATCGAGAAACGTGTTGTATATACCTCGTTTACTCACGGTTGAAAGTAGAGGTTACGAGGATCGAAAGTAGACAACAGTATTGACTTTGTGCACAGAATCTGCTTTCAGGCCCGCGACTGTAAGCCACGTACTAATACTGGCACGAGTTCCCCAACTTAAGTGGCTGGCCGGATTAAAGAGCACGTTGGGGTTTATATACCGCTTTCGGGTGCATTCCGTGGAAACCGGGCGAACCCCCAGATTTTGGCATGGTCGAGGGGATAAGGCGTAGGTCTAACCGGTCAGCGGAATCGGGAGGGGTCGCAGGTTCAAACCCGAGCATGACTCTCGTCCGAAGTCTATCGCCCTCACTTTTTGACCTCAGCTCCTAGTAGCTCCTTTTCACGCTCCTTTTGCCACCACTCTTGCAAGGAGACCTCGTCAAAGTGCATCACAGTAGCAATGGACGACAGTTTCTGAAGGGGCGCTCCGTAAGTTCTACTGTAGAAGGCGCCATAGCAGCTCAGAGCTTGGGTGCCTTGGCCTTCATTGCGTCCAGCTGGCTAAGTTTCTGGGCATCATACATCAGGACCTAGTCTATTGGGCCCAAAGGATTGTGTTCAATTGAATCTGTACAGAATTTGACAAGCTGTTTCAGGATTTCCACTCAGGTTTGTTAGCTTCTAGCAGCCGCCGTTTGAGTTTCCAAGTTCCAGGAGTCAAACAATCAAGGAGTCTGGGCCAGCAAGGCCGGAGAGCTGGTTCACGAGCTCCATTGGCAGTGAAACGT